ACAATACAAATCATAGAATTCAAAAAAATATATACTTAAGTCATAAAAACGACTTGTTACATTGATTTAAGTCTATACAAAAATTACTTGACTTGAAATAAAATACTTAAAGTCAAAAACTTAAGTCATTTGAACTTTATGTTGAAACTGACTTAAGATTTAAATCATTTTGTCATCATTCATCACTCCTAATAAAACAATATATTATTTTAATTTTAGCGAGTAATATCTGTGGTAATATTAACTATTAACAATCCATTTTTCTAATCTTTGAAAAGTGAATCATTATAATACGATATTATATGTCTATGATATCTCTATGAAATTGCACAAAATTTCACCAAAAAAATGCCTTTCTGATCTTCTTCATCACATTATAAGTACGTCCTTTTACGCACGTAGTATCTCTCTGCAGGAAAAAAATAACAAACTCTTTGTTGTTATCTGCATCTTTTTCTCTTCAGTCTTCACCAGCGAAGATGAACACACATCCCGTTACTGCATCTTACCATTGGTATGGTATGGTAAGCTACCTCGAATTACGTCGGCGTGTTCTGTAAAGGTCACCTTGAGAGTGAAGTTTATGGATCCCCGTGTCCGATGGATTTACAGGCGTACAACGGTGTGGAATCAGCGTAAGTTATGACGAAAATAGTTTTTTTTTGCAGGATTAAGCTTTTGGTTCGTTCATTAAGCCAATCATTTTCGTTTATACAGTCTTAAAGTTTTTAGAGTCCTTAAATAGGTATAAATATTTTAAGGGCTGCTAGATCTCAATAAACGAAACATATTTTCTGTCTCTGTAAGTTTGAAAATTCAAAAAAAAATTGATTTATCCTGGCCGGTTAAAAAAATACTATTTTTTGTAACCGGCCAGGACAAGACACGAAAAATATTAGACTATCAAATCTAGTTTTCCAAAGTTCCTTGTTTAAAAAGTAGTGTTTTTAACACAGCCATGGCACTCTAGATTGAAATTTAAAATACGATTTTTTTTTGGAGCGAAAATGTTAAAAGTTGGCATATCATTTGTCATTCTATTCAGAATGTCATTCTCTATCAAACAAAGTAAAAAAGGTACCAGGGTTCCATTTAAAAATTAAAAGTTTTAGTCATTTCCGGTGAAACAGGAAGTGACTGAAACTAATTGAATGCGTCAGTCAACTCAGTCAACAGAGAAACACCTGATATAGGTGTTCCCTTATTCTTTGTCATTCACTATATGATTCGAAAAGCCTCTTTTATTTTTTATTCGATTTTTTCATTACAATTTTTACTTTAATAGTGTTGAATAACATAGGCATATTAACATAAACTTTTTAAAAATTTTGTGATATTTTAAAAAATCGTTTTGTGAGACCGATACTCCTAATGATATTTTGAATGACTAAATGCCTACTACACTAAAAAAAAATATTGTTCATAATATTAATGAACATTGATTATTAACTGTTGTTTCATTGAGACAATGATTTTTTTCATTAATATAATGATTTGTTAATCATAGATCGATGTCCGATTTATTAATACTATGAATCTAATTTCATCAATATAATGAAAATCTGGTTATTAAAGTAATGTAAGATTTTCATTAATATAATGAACGCGTTCATTGTCCCAATGAACGCGTTCTTTATTTTAGTGCCGAAACTTTAATGCTGGGGCCACACTAACGTTAACGTGTAACGTTCATATCGCAATAACTATCGCGTCAAAAATAATGGATTAAATTACGCGGTAAAATTTAATGGCTACACTTGTATTTGGAACAAAAGACGCGTTATTTCATAAAATAATGTCATCATGGAGGTTGAGGCCGCTGCACTGCTGGTATATTATATGAGCGTAAATTATTATTATATGAATTTATTATATTGTAATTGGGCCAGACAAAAATCAAGGCTTAAAAGAAGGTGGTGGATGAAGGAAACGTACAAGGTAACATCTATTTAAACACGTTCAAACTCGGTCGCCAACCGCTAAAAACGCAGCAAAAATAACGCGCTAATATGTTTGATGTGTCAACGAAGACCGCCACCTGTGTTATCGCCTAACGTCAAATGCCATCAATAAAAATAATAATAAATTAGCGCGCTAACTTCTGGCTACACCTACGTTTAATGTAAGATAGTGCGATAATTAATGGCATTAGGCGTTAGTGTGGCCCCAGCATAATAAACACATATTCATTATATTAATGAACTAAATCATTGATTAATGAGTTGTACATTGTGACAATGAACAATGTTACATTATATTAATGTACGCGGTTATTAATATCATGAATAAAATATTAGGGCTTAAAAAATGTCCGCCATGTTGATCGGTTACTTTGGCACTTTAATAACGTCTGTGTGGTTGAGTTATCCAGTGAGGCTTTAGTTTCATTAGAGCGGTAAGTGTTCTCTTCAATATTTTAAATATTTTAAATAAAAGTCCTATCGTATTGTCACAGATTATACAGATTATAATCTTTGTTTTTTATTTATTGTTTTTCGTGGTTCCAATTTTTGGAATCGGGCACTAGTTAGGTGACTAGTACTACTTATGGCCTCTAAAATTGTGCACAGCGCCTGACCGGCGCGGCACAGTTATTAGAGGGATATCGGGAAACCGAATAGCGTCATCCAGTATTTACACGTACCTTATTATGGTTACGATATGCGCGAGTCAATTTTTAACGCAATACCCGCTAATAACGTTACCGCCTGACGTAATTTACGGATCAATTACATCAAGCGCTCTTTCAAAATAACCTCTGATAACGTTTAAAAATTGCTTAAATGGGCATGTGCGGGTATTTGACAACCGGAGCCGGCCGGCAAGATCTTTTATTTTAGGTTATGTTTGAATTGTTTTGAATTATTGCTTTAGTTTTATTAGGTAATTTGATATTTAAGTAGCTGGGATTAGTTTTAATTAAATAAATATGGCCCAAAATATGGATTCCACCTCTTCCAATACTAAAGAACCTATAAAAAGTCTTAGGTTTACAGCAGATAACGACTTAGCCCTTCTAAAGAATTTGTTGCTTGTTGCCCTAAACTCACTGGCAGACGTTGAACAATAAAGCACTGGAAATAAGCACTTTAGCCCTTTAATTTTAAAATACCTAGTAAACAAAACAATTTCAAAGTTTTAAATTCAAAGTTAGGTTAAGTTTAAATAGCGGACGCGACGCGATCAGAATTCTTTCCGATCCGATAACGATAAATGAAGAGAGTTAATACCACCTCACGTAAAGGAAATAACACCTGGCCTTATTAACGTCCATGCACGCTATTCGGTTTAGCGACATCTCTCTATTACGCTGTTTATTGTTATTTTACGCCAGTTTATTTTTGCGCACAGGAAATTTGACTCGTTTGCACATCGTCATAAAAAAACAATTTTCGTACCACGAATTAGGGACAACATTTTTATCTGTATACTTATAGGATACCTAATCTGTGGTATTGTAAAGTACGTTTGCTGGATCTGTGTCTATGAAAGGAATGCGGACAAAAAACATTTAAATAAACAGCAATATATTTTATACGTCGACTTCACGAGTACGTCACCGCAAATCGCTCCGCCCACTTATTTTATTGGCTACTTGCAAATTTGTCGAATTTTTATTGATGGGACGCGTCGTCTAATTTTTTACGAAAAACATCGAGAAAATATCGTTTCCCCTCTCACGGATACCCCGAAGCTACAGAACGGACAGACGTACTGTAGTTAATTTGTTGTGTTGTCAAATCAAATTCCGCTGTGTGAGATCTCTGGTGAGGGTATTCATTAAAACAGCGGTTTCCAAATATGTTTCAGAAGATAAAAAACAAAAAGAAGAAAAACATAGTAACAAGTCGAGGCATGGAACTGATTATGGTAAATTCGAATGTTCTTTTAATATTCGGCATTTTAATTATTTTGATATACGTCTTTTAGAAACGGAAGAAGATGTTGAGACCTGCCTTCAAGCCCCCAAATTCAACAATTTAACATGGGACCCATTTGATGCGACTTGGAAAGCCTGTTGCAAATTCGTCTAGACGTTATCAAGTCTAAGGATACAGCTAATATAATGAAGAAATGTTTTTTTTATAAAAATCCCTCAGGATATCGACTGGTAAATTAATTTTCTTATTATAATTTACTATAAAATTAATAATAACATTACTATTCTCTTCGGCAATTCGATTTTTTTAATTTTTAATTTGTATATGCTATATCGAGTTTAATAAATTATTATTAGTTTATTGCACTTGTTTTTTTATTAATAATCCCTAATGGAAAAATTTACTGTGCTCGTAAGTAAGTTGGCACTATTAGTAATTTTGTTACCTTTGTAGCTAAGGGCTTGTTCAAATGGAAATCTATTTATAGTAGAATTATTTCAGGTAGTTGGCTGGGAAATGACTATCAATGACATTTCATATCAATGACAGCGATCTTCATCATCGATTATACGGTGTAACAAGAGTTACTAATAGTATCGACTTTTAAATGTATAACTAAATAGGTTATGAAATTATTTCATTGTATTAATAATACGGTTCATTAATATAAGGATTTAGGTACATTATATATATTAATGAAATCTGTTCATTGTACCAATGAATGTGTTCTTCAAATTAATGAACACTGTTCATTGATTTAATGAACTTAAAGTTTATAGAGTTAATGAATTACTTAAATCATTCATCGGCTCAAAATTAATGATTTAATTCATTATATTAATGAACTTTTTCATTATATTTATGTCGACTTTTGGTTCCGTGTAGCCTATTGTATTATTAAGAACTGTAAAAATGTGGAAAACATTCATCTAAAATAAGATATAATCGCATATATAACGCATTTCGTGAATGTCGAGGTTTTCCGGAACTTCTGGATTTCCTGCCGAGTCGGAAAATTTGAAAAGTTTTCCGGACATTTGGACCACTGTGCGGCGACGCGACGCCTGCTTGGATTATATTGGAGTTTCCAGCGTTTCGAACGGATAGTCGATTGTAAACATACGCGCTAAATCGTACGCTTCAGGCTGGTCCTGTTCCTGAAAAGCACTGAAAATTTCCCGGTTTCCTCTAGTCAAAATGCATTTTTGAACGAATATTTTGGTGGGGTATTGTAAAAAAGGTCGGGTTTAAGTTATAATCGAGGTGAAATAGAAGTTTTAATAAGGTAGGATGGAATTTTTAATAAATTTGTTTGACTAAGTCATTATAATACTCTATAACACCTGATTTAGAATATTTAGACAATATACATTAGCAACATTATTTTTTAATTTATAGATGTATGTTTTGCCTTTATTTTTGAATATATATTTAATTTAAAAAGACAAAAATTTAATAATAATATACGCCTTTCTTAATTTTTTGTGCACCTATATAAATATTATCGAAAATCTAATAAATAAGGTTAATTATATTAAATTAAATAAAAACAAAAAATGAAATGAAAATAAACATTTATTTATTAGAAAATTCAAAAAATTATTCCAGATTTTGTAAAGGTCGTGACCTAAGTAAAGTCATATTTTTCTTGTATTTAGCACATCAGTATTTATTAAAAATGATGTTCAAGCAATATAATGTGTATCTTTTGGGTGAAATAATATTTTTTTCCTGCATATTCATAAAGTTTACAGAAAAAATCAATGCATATTGTAGATCTAATAAATAAGACACAATGTTTGTTTATTTTTTGGATAACTGGAAGAAGTTTTCAGGATCTCTCAAGGTCGTGACCTTTCACAACATCTGGTGCAATAGGAATTGCAGGATGTTAAATAACAGGATTTCTTAATATTCCAAAGTATCTGGTTTCCTAATTAAGATTTCCATTCAAATCTTCTTTACAAAACAGGCAGGCTATGTTTTGTGATTTGTGCGTGTATTTTCACAAATAGGTATATACCGGGTGGGTATCGAAAGTGGCTCACCCCTATAACTTTTTTATTTTTAACATAAAAAAAGTAGATTTGGTATGTTAGTATATGACATAACATATGTATATTTCTACTTTATTCGATAGAAAATGACACTCTGAGTAGAATGACATATCATATAAGCATATGCCAATTTTGGCATTTTTGCTAACACAAATCGTATTTTAAATTTCAATCTAGAGTGCCATGGCTGTGTTAGAAACACTAAATTTTAAACAAGGAACCTTGGAAAAATAGATTTGATAGTCTAATGTTTTTCGTGTCTTGTCCTGGCCGGTTAAAAGATGCCCAAATCGTATTTTTAATCATATCTTAATTTTTTCAAATGGAACAAGTAAAGGGAACAAGGGTGGTTCATTAGCATATTTGGAAAAAGCATTTTTTTAGGAATAATTTGGTACCACACACTTGGGGTTTCGAGTCAAATTGTCGTTATGAACCGCATGTTACAATTTCAAATAAACCGTATGCAAAAATGTCAAAACTTGACATATGATATGTCATTCTATTTGAAATGTCATTTTCTATCGAATAAAGTAGAAATATATCGAGGGTACCATTTAAAAATCAAAAGTTGTAATAATTTCCGGTGAAACAGGAAGTGACCGAAAACAATTGAATATGTCAATGAATACTAATTTATGTCATATACTGCTATACCAAATCTCGATTTTTTATCTAATTAAATAAGAAAGTTATAGGAGTGAGCCACTTTTGACGCACCCGGTATACTATAGGGTAATTCAAATACATATTGTTTATTTCTTTCGCTCAGCGGATTTGTAATAAAATTGGCATTTCATAATATAATTTTCAAATATTATTATTATACATTTCAAATACCATAATAAAATAAAAATTTTCTGAAAATAAATCTTTTGCGCGTTTATAGATTTCCCAAAACTATGAAATTTTCATTTAGTTGGAGAATATTTTATAGCAGTGTTTTCTTTAAACTAAGAATACTAATACATACTATATGCCACAAAGAATACTGATTTATTAAACCCACACAGTACACATATGTAGTAAGTACGTGCGAATATACATTCGCACATTTGCGAATATTGCACAATGTGAATTAAATGAAGCGACCCAAATTTACATACAAACTCATTTAAATCATTTATTAAAACGTATGTCGCCGGATTAAATTTACAAGAGGAAGAACTTCAATCATGATAAAAAAAAAATTGCGTCGTATAAGTACCGTTGCCGTTAATATAATTTTCCAAATTTCCATATTGCTTTAGAGAAAATTAAAAGAATTTTTCTAAAAATCCTTCATAAAGTCCTAAAAATTAAAAAGCGTTTCTATGGTAATATAATTTCGTTTTCATTCTTTCATAAATTGTTGTTAATAGAATTTTAATTAACGTCATAATTTTTTATAATGTTAAAAGAAGCACAACATTTATTTACTTCAATGCAACGGAAAGGGTGATAATAGTTATCGGAAAATGTGATATTTTAACAACAGCAAAAAATATGACGTTAATCAAAATTATATAATAATATCTGTCTATCAAAGAATTAATTAATTTTTAGGAAAAAAATTCAACGATATTTTTATGTTTTTCTATTATTTATATTTTCAAAGATTTTGCAAATTCAAGATTTGCGTATATTTAAAATATAGACAGAAATAAAAATTTAAACGATTTTTAATAATATGTAATATAATTATCAATTGAACAAATTTTTAACATTATAGGGATGTATAAAAGATACCTAGACTAACCATATAATTTTCTGTTGAAAGAATTTTTAAATAATTTGTTTTACAAGGAAAATTTAAATAATTTCCAAAAATTTTTTCGAAAAATAGCAAATTCTCCCAAAAAAAATTTTTGCAAAAAAACCCTCATATACGTGTTTTGTGTTGTCTAAATATAATATACCACCCTAAAAATATTTGCACTTATTTAAGACCTGTATAACATACGATCATAACAACAAACGCTATCTTTAATTCCATTTTTAAAATAATGCTAAAAATGGTGCTAATTTTTCCTATCAATTTTATAATTTTAACTAAATATACCGGGTGCGTCTCAAAACTGGCAACAATAGAAAATGATACTCTGAATAGAATGACATATAATATGTCAACTTTTCACATTTCCGGTGAAACAGGAAGTGACCAAAACAATTTTCTTATACTAACATACTAAATCCCGTTTCTTTTATCTGAAAAAATAAAAAAATTATAGAGTGAGCCACTTTTGAGACGCACCCGGTATACATGTGTTTGTGGATAAAACGTCAATATTACATTCGTGTTTTAGTTGGATTTATCCACTTAGGAAAATTAAACGCTCGAACAACTTTAACATTCTTGTATGGATAAGATGTCCCCTAAAACACATATTATAATAAATATAACTATATTACATTTCTAGCGTTAATTCAGTCGTATTTATATTAACCAACCATTATCTGGAAACATACTCACATTAAGTCATTTTAATAAAAATAATAAATACATAATATCTACTTTTATGTGCCTAACTAAAGTGTGTATAATCGATGGATTTTAATCCATCACACTGGTCACTTCTCTAATTGATTGATGAGAAATATTATTATTGAAACGATCTTCATCAAAGTGAGTTTCTAAACATTGGAAACCATTCACGTTAATATTTTTGCAAAAATCTATTATAACAATGAGCTTGATCTATTTTATTTTGTTTTTATTTTAGGTTGAGTTCATTAAAATTTTAATTACCACAATTCATTAAAAATAATACGGTATTTTAAATAATAAGTCAATTATTTTATTTCAATTCAAATTTAATTTTACTATTTGTGCAAAGGTCTCTTAACAGGCTTTAATGTTACGTTTTTCGTCGGTTTCGTGTGGATAGAAAGTCACAATTTATTTAAACACTATTTATTTAACACTAATTAACAAAAACAATAACGATAAAAGACTTATAAGAACTATTTACAAACGATTTATAACTAAGAATTTATTTTGAATTTTTGCGCGTCAACTGCACTCGTATATTTATGACTTATGACTGCCCTCTCTAGGCCACAGCCGCCGGCTTTTATACCTACAGCTAAAGGTTACTAGAATAGTCCATAGATCGTTAGGTGCATAGAGAAGGTTTCGAATGTTCTCGTATGTACTACTCCATTCCAGTGGGACTCGATTCTTCTCGAATCTTCGAATGAATCATTACGGTGTCTATTCTTTAATGCGATGTTAAGGTCATCCGAGGGCGGGCCATATAGTTAGGTTAGGTCGAGTGACTCGAGTGCACACCGGTCCGCAACAATATGTTCAGTAAGAGAAGGAACGGTTTTTCGACTACATCTAAAGAATGACAGAAAAACAGTTTAATTTTGTTGGCAATGATAGTTCTAAAAAAATTTTCAAAAAGATATACAGAGTGATTAAGCTGTATTTTATTAATGGAATATTGTTTTTGCTCAATTGAATTTGTTATAAAATGTATGTCTCATTCGCACTTATTAAGATACATTTGTCAAACTGCATTTGTGTGACTCTTTGTAAAAAATACAAATCCATATTAAATATTAGTTTTTGACAAGTTTTTTTCTCATTTTTTTTTAAATGACATCGATTCGACAACAATTATCATCGATCATCGGCCGTTTTGCCGTCTTTTTTTTGACCGAATCTTATTATCTAGCGGAAGTAAAAAGTATGATTAGGGGAGAACTGTGTAAATATAACATGCTTAGTTGAAGTTCATTCCTCCCATCGTATACCTATTTGATGTTGGTTTAGGCGCATCTTTTTTCACTTCATACTGATTTAAGTTATACAGGGTACGTCTCAAAAGTATAAGCTCACCCCCTATAACTTTTTTATTTTTTCAGATAAAAAAACGAGATTTGGTATGTTAGTATATAACATTGAAAATGACACTCTGAATAGATTGACATATTATATGTAAACTTTTGACATTTTCCCATATGGTTTATTTGAAATTGTAACATGCGCAAAGTGTGTTGGTATTTGGTAGCAAATTATTCTTAAAAAAATGCTTTTTCCAAATCAGTTAATGAGCCAGTTGTTCCATTTGAAAAAATTTAGATATGATTAAAAATACGATTTGGATATCTTTTAACTGGTCAGGACAAGACACGAAAAACATTAGACGATCAAAACCATTTTTCCAAGGCTTCTTGATTAAAAATTAGTGTTTTTAACACAGCCATGGCACTCTAGATTGAAATTTAAAATAGTATTTTTTTGAACGAAAATATCAAAAGTTGACATATTATATATCATTCTATTCAGAATGTAATTTTTTATCGAATACAGTAGAAAAATACCGAGGGAGTCATTTAAAAATCAAAAGTCGTAGTCATTTCCGGTGAAACAGGAAGTGACTCAAAATAATTGAATACGCCATTCAATCCTAATTTATGTCATATACTAACATACCAAGGCTCGTTTTTTTATCTGAAAAAATAGAAAAGTTATAGGGGTGAACCACTTACGAAACGCACCCGGTATACTTAATTTTAACATGTTTCGTTTAGCAATTTCTTATTTATCTCTAAGTAATATTCAAGCCTGTATAATGGGTTTATTAATGTAAGTTTCTTAGAATATCACGAGTGTTGAACTAATGATGAACTAAAAATTCACACTACAACATATTTCTCATTACTTCAACACAGATTTGCCTAAAATCGAATTCAACTTAATATTTTGAAAAAAGGTATATGTTCTTCATAGAAAATAAAAAATAAAAATAAGTCCATTAAAACAAAAATATTTTAAATTTAAACGGTTTCACACTTCTTAATAGGTATATCACTATTCAATATTTAAACAACAAAGGACAACGTATCTCATTGAATTTTTAACACACTAGTTTTTACACGTATATACCGTATGATCGAAAAAACAGCGTCAAGTTGGCATGGAAATGACGGTCAAGAGCATTCACCATATAATTTACATTTTTTAAAACGACAGCTATCCCCATTTCCTGGCTAACTCTGACGCCGTTTTTCTTTTCAATTGAGTATGGCATTTGACTTTTTAAATGTGACTAAGTCTTTTTGATCTCTAACTGGTATCTGCGCTTTTTTAAACTGCTCTATATTTAATCTGATTGTAAATGAATAATTTATAATTGTTTTTTTTAACGTTTCATATTTAATTTTTCACACTCAATATTAATTTGTTTTCAGAAATAGAAATAAATCATGAGGGAAGTGGAAGCTAGAGGAGGATTTGGTGAGTAAAATATGTTAATTGTTTTTAATAATAGCCGTAGACATTAGACATAGGGTTAAAATATTGTGATTTTATTAAAAAAATTATAGAAGTTCTCCTTGGTTCTCTGCAATAACGAAACATTTCAAATTTTACAGAAAATATTTCATTTGAAATAAAACTATATGTCGAACTTACAAAAGGTTTACGTTCCCTCAGTTGCAATAGATCCATTTTAATGGTATGATCTTTCTGGTTTGCATTCTTTTTGATGACACTAAAACATTCAACCTTCAATCACTATACCAAACCAAAATTCAGTCTTCTTAGATTTACTTAAAAAAGCTTTATTGCTGTTTTTATTTTTAGTATATCTGAATATAGTGGAGTGCCCAGAGACTTTTACCTCGGAATTCAATTACTGTCAATGTATTAATGTGAAACCTTCTGTATTGTGTTTTATAGATAAAATACTAAAATGTTTACCCACTTTTTTTCGTTGCTTTTAATTTTTTATTTTAGTAATTTTAGTAAATTCTTAATTATTTCCTTCTTAATATTTTGATTTTATTAATTCTTTTTCAAAGTAAATTTATTGAAATAAATAAATCTATTACATAGTCTATACCTATTCTGCTTATATTCTAATAATTGAAATTTTGATTGAAATCGAATTATACAGGGTGGCGCGTCATATATGACGCGGTTTTTGCAAGGAGAACAAAAGTTTGTATTGAAGTGAAATTTTGGGAGCTTAAGTAAGTCAATTTAAAGTATTTTCTAAAATTATGTAGGGTTCTACAGGGTGTCCGCAAAAAAAGTTACACATCAAAGTTATGTTTTTGGTAACGGAACACCCTATATATTAATTGATTTTTGGATTCTAGTAAAAAAATAAAGGTTTGGTTTGGTTGCGACTAAAATGTATAGTTTTTGAAAGACATTCATCGGCACGAAAAATGGGCACCTTAAAACTTTGATGTATTTTAAAGGTTAATATATTTTATTTTAATGGGACGATTTTGATGATTTTTTAAGCAGTGTGTTGTCATATTATTTGATTTTTTAGTATCTTTTTCTAAATTAAAAATGAAACTCACCATCTGTTAATTATACGAGGGAAACCAAATTGTTGATATTTTTGATGAAAGTTTGAAACACTCAGTGAAATATGTTAAAACAGACACAAAATTATTTTATCATCTAGATACATCCTTTCTCGATGGTTTATTTTTTGGTTCATCTCATTAGCTTTATTTTGTTGGAAATATTCGGTTTTAAAGAAGGCACTAACATTTTTCGTAATTTTTACATTAAGACCATGCCTTTTGTAGTCCGTTAGTTAATATGTACGGTTCTTAAGTGCAATTCATTATCAATTTGAAAAGCTGGCAAACGGCGGTTTCTTAGCGATAAACTTACAATAAGTCGATCGTCTCGGTTAGAAGTTCTCATACGAAGGTTCCTGGACGTCTATATTGACGTCCTCATGGACGTGGTCATAATTCAAAGACCATTTAATATACTCTATGGTATTAAGGTATTTTTGGAACCAGAATTTTATAGCAAATTCACTAAACTCGAATAAATAAATGATATATATTTGACTCACCCTGTATATCTATAAAAATATTTTTGAAGTGTGAACTACTATTAAACATATATTTTGTAAAAGGTTTGGAGTGAAAATCTCAAATAGGAATCCTGATACAGAGCTTTTCCGGAAAACGAAGCCATCTTGTATGTATGCATTTTTATATGTGTGTGTTTATTTAAATACTAAAGTGAAAGCAACGAATTTAAATGGGTAAACTTTGTAATATATCTTATTAACAATACAATACAAAAAGTTTTCTAAAAATTTGTTCACAGTAAATGAATTCCGAGGTTTGTATCTCATAAGGGCATAAAGCACTCCACTAATAAGATTTTCTTGTTTTGAATTATTTGGTGATGTTAGACACTATCCAAGACTTCAAAGACGTACACATGTCAATACACTATCCAAGACGTAAAAAAATTGGAACTTGAATAAAGATATTTTTATGTTAATATAATTATTGTAGAAAGGTTTATTAACAGAACAAACAAAACAAAAATATTTTAACAGAAAATATTATTTTTACTTAATTTCATGCTTGTTTATGAAATTTCATTATGAGCTATTCTTAGTTATGATTTATTTAAATTCACTGTTATAAACTGTTACTAATTTGGCAAATTACTTCATAATAATTTGGCATTAATTCTAACTGAAATTGAATAAGTATACCGGGTGTTGCATCGTCGTTGGGAACATAGGAAATCCCATGCAAAATTTGAACTGTCCAGATATTGGCTCCCCTATGGATTTTATAGCAAAGTCATAAATAGACTTTTTAAAGGTCTACATTTGGTAAACACACATGCCAAATTTGAGCAATTTTGAACAAGTCGGTTTTGAATAATTTGAGAAAAACTGCAATTATTTTTAAATTAAAACCGAACAGGTAACAATCAAACACCAGTCAAAAACCGACATTCCTTAAGTTGTCAGCCTCATTTTCAAACGTCACTTAATTTTAATAAAATTTTAATATTCAGTACTAGTAATAATTTATTGTTATACACATAAAGAAAAAGTGTACATGATAAAATACGCGGGAAATAGATTAGACAGTGTATCTGCCATGTTTCGGTTAATTTTCCCTAAATACTAAAATTTTATTAAAATTACTTTTGACAATGACAAAATCATAGTTGGTAAACCTAAGGTATGTCAGTTTTTGACTGGTGTTTGATTGTTACCTGTTCGGTTTTAAAATCGATTAAGTTTTTCTCAAATTACCTAAAATCGGCTTGTCCAAAATTGTTCAAATTTGGCATGTGTGTTTACCAAAGGTAGACCTTTAAAAAGTATATTTACGACTTCGCTATAAAATCCATATGGCAGCCAATATCTGGACAGTTCAAATTTTGCATGAGATTTACTATGTGCCCAACGACGATGCAACACCCGGTATGTATATCTGTTTGCAAGCAAAAGTAATAAGTTAAAGATATAAACTGTATTATCTATTGTTTATTTCGTTGATGTGTTTCAAAATTTGCGGCAAAAACATAATGGTGATCTAAATTAGGATTTTTATTATTCGAATCGTCGCTATTTTTAAATAAATTAACCAGATTTTATAGCCGGTGGTTTAATTATAGAATCGGTGTGTTCTACTTTCTTTTTGCGACAAAAACCAAACAACATAAATATAGGTATGTGGGTACGCATTAAATTGTTTTTAGAATGATGTGACATTTTGTTATAAAATATACGGAATATATATTTTATTAACTATTAATTTTCTTGTTGTTCTAACAAAAATACCGTATGATCGAAAAAAACGGCGTCAAAGACTGCTGGGGAATGACAATCGATTATAATTTTGGCGAGGTCAATTTACTAAAAAGTGATATAAAACTTTAACAATACGTAATTTTTCATAAACGTTTAATGGGACATTTACACTCCAACGCCCAGTGGATAACATACCAAGAATTTACAACTTTGAGAAGCACCTCACTGTAGTATTGAGTAATAAAAAGGATTGGAAGAAAGAAACGCTTACTCAGCATATAAAAGACCATATACCATCACGTGGTATACTGATGCTTCCAAAACCAAAGCAGGGACAGGGATAGGAGTATTTGGGCCGAAAACTAAATACTTCGAACCAAAAGGCACCTACCCCAGTATCCTTCAGGCAGAAATTTACGCTATCGAAAGATGCGTACAATTTATCTTAGATAGGAACTATCGAAAACAGGGAATTGCCATCCTATCCGATAGTCAAGCAGCACTTAACGCCATCAACTCAGTAACCATGAATTCGAAGTTGGTCAAAGAATGCCTAGAGAAGCTTAACAAATTAGGCAAAGAAAATAAAGTCCTCCTACTCTGGGTGCCTGCTCACCAAGGGATAGAAGACAATGAAAAAGCAAATGATATAGCTAGAAAAGGAGCAAACACTCCACTAACTGGACCAGAACCGTTCTGTTTTCCAAACGAGAACCAACTGTAAGCGGAACTGAAGAATCTGGAAGACTTCCATCCGTAACTTGGAATGGGTGTCCTCCAACGGTGTAAGACACTCGAAAAAGTTCCTCAGAACTTACGACCGAGAAAAAACAAAGGTTTTCCTTGACTTAAGTAAAAACAATCTTCGAATTGTCACGGGGTTTCTAACAGGACACTGTCTCCTCAACGAACACTTCAGTAGGCTGAAGCTGAGAAACAACGGCGAATGCAGGTTTTGTGAGGAAAATGGGGAAACACCAGGACACCTTATCACTGAGTGCGCCGAGACGACGACCATTCGTGCCATGAACTTTGGTACGTCTGATGTCGAGGATGGAGAGCTGGTCTCTGTGGAGCTGTCTCAGATACTGGCTTTGTATGATGAGTTATAACTGGTTATAACTCAAGAAAGGGGAACACACAATAGATAAGATCGAGGTGATTAACTTCCCTCCTAAACATTCTAAATTCTACATGGGACACTTATCTTGATTAACCCTGTATACTTTGATAAATGGTAGAATATAGTAATACTAATACTTTTAAAAGTGCGTAATAATGGTTGGTAAAAAAGATGAATTTTTAATATAAATACTTTATATTCTAGGTAAAATATCCTCTCGATACCTTCTTGCGATACTGGGTTCAATCGGTTTGGGCATTGTCTACGGGCTGAAAGTAAACTTCCATGTCGCCATTGTGAGTATGGTGAACCACACTGCAGTTGGTGGGAGTGAACATGGAGACGCTGGTGAGGTATGTATATTTATAATTGAAAAGTTGCAGTTTACCCGTAAGGGTGTAAGATATTCATGCTTTCTTGTCATAGTCAAATGAGGGCAAATGACCAGTCTTATCCCAAAAACGTTGTTTCGAGATAATAAGCAAAAACTGTTTTAGCAAATGTTTGTGTGTGTCCAATGAGTGGAATCATTGTTTTGTATCTCGTTTTTCTAGAAATAAAAATTAATATTTAATTTTTAAACAAAAACAAACACAAAAATAATTAGGATTAGGCGGATTTTGTAGCAGTATGGTGCATATTGGCTATGAAATGAAGAACGCTGTCATTTTATATGTAAATTTTTAGGAAATGTCAGCGATCGTCATTTTTCAGCCAATTGGACGCCGTTTTTTTTTCGATTTTACGGTATTTGCATCCTAACTTGATTTATTAAATGTACTATTTTATTAAAATTAAGTAAGAATTTGAAAATACTTCAGTAGTAATATTATATTTGTAAAAAAAGCTTATGAAAAAATGCGGGATTTGTAAAATAATGACAATAAAAAGCAAATATAAGTGGATAAGGCGGATTTTGCTGCAGTAACGTAATTTGTAGTGAATTTTATATAAGTATAAGCAACTTTTACTGCAGTTTGGGATTATGTTTATGTATATCTCAGGGTCCCACTATTAATATAATATATCATTAGGCCATTTAAAAAAAATGGATAAGGCGGGTTTTGCAACTTGACACCTCAAATGCAGGCCATTTTTTCCCATTTTAGGCCAATGCCCATGGGCACCCACTGTTTTCCCTTCACGGATGCTGGGGCACCCGAGCACCCACGCCATTCAGCGAACCTTAACAACCTCTATACTATCCCCGAAATGTTTTACGAAATATTTCTGGAAATATTTCGTGAAACATTTCGCAAAACATTTCTGGAAATACTCTCAGAAGTGAACTCAAATATAACCCCCAATTGATTGTTTTTATTGTTAACCCAGATTAACAATAAAAAACAAACAACCATTCACGGCGCGTCTCGATTTATTTTAGGAAACGTGGGAACTAATTTTTATAACACGGGCTTATATTTATCGTACTATTTTGTGAAATAGCACGAAGGAATCAAGATCAAACGTCGTGGTGGCTTCAGAAATATAAGCAAACATGGAGTATGAATAAATATCATTAATTTGTAATGGAGTGTAATGTAATACCACTATATTAAACTGATATGAAAAATCAAAAACAGTGCATTTAGAAAATAGTTACCGATGGTAGATTAAATTGGCTATTTCTCTAAGGTTACACAAGAATATTTAGTTTTAATCATTGTCTAACATTATTAATACATATAATAAAGAAATATATTTCAAAAACTTAAAATCGTAAAACTGCAGGGCAATACGCAGTGACTAACGATTCTGGCGGTCCGCCTTTTATAGGTTATAATCCACAGTGTTAAACTATTTAAAAAATCGTCTAATTATTTCTTATTTTTAAATGGATTTATATCAAACCATGTTATAATTAAAATATCTACTATTTAAATATCTACTCTACATATAATAAACGTGTGTTCAAATATTAATTTTGTGGAATATAATATGTCCACATAAAACAGAGATGTAATTAACGAAATATCATCGTAACAACAGCTAATTTAGAAACATCTAGATTTACATATTTTACTGAGATTTATAAAAAAAAGTCCTTTGCCTCGGGTACAGATACCGCCACGTTTTGGAAATAGCTCAAAACGAAACAAAATTGAACGAGGCAACAGGAAACGCTAAAAAATACCCCACGCCCTCCTCACGAGTAGTTTTCAGGCGCTTTTAAGAATTAAAAGTAGGTCGAGGCAAACCGAAGTGGATCAAGACAAAACTGGAAATAAACCGAAACGCGACAAAGTTGGGCGTCAAATTGCGACCTTGACCTGCTTCGAAGAGTTCTCCGCATAGTGTAGAGGTTGTGTTAGAGTTGCAAACTTTCAAAATAGAAAACATAGGACGAGGGGGTAAAAAAGCACCACAGATGAAACATTTTTCGAAACCTCACTCAAGTGTAGTCAAGAATTTACCCAAAAGTTAGGTAAACATGTTAATTGCTCCACAAATATTTCTTGCTCTTAAATATTTCTGTTCTGTACGAACGAGTGGGAGTAGTGAAAGACACATAGTTACCAGATTAAAAATTTGTGTAAAGGGAAATTAAAATAACTTTCGTTGCACGTCATCAATGACACCATGCGTCGTCTTATAGAGTTTGCTGGTGCTCGTATTATGATGTGCAACGAAAGTTGTTTTAATAAATAAATAATAAATAAATAAATGCCTTTATTGTCAAAAAATTTTACAATTTGTAGACAAAGGTAAACTAAACAACAAAGTAAACAAACAAACAAACAAAAGAGAATACAAAACATTATACAAATAACATTGTCAGTCTTGTTGTTTAAAATAAACATTTATAAATGTTTACAATGTCAAAGAATAAGAAAATAAAAATAATATTCAAAAATATTTTACAAGATCAAATTTTTTCAAAAATCAAAAATTTTGAGTCGCACAACACGTACCCCAGAATGGAAGGGCATATCTGAGGTGCGACTCAAAAAGTGCATAATAAACAGTTCTAGCCACTGACAAGTTAAGCTCCTTAGAGAAACACAGATCTTAATGCAAAACAGGCATAGCTTAATTTTTTCGACAAAGCGTCGATATGCATGTCCCATTTCAGAGAATTGTTTACAACAAGCCTTAAGAACTTTACAGATTTGTTGGTGTTGTTAAGTACAAAGGCTGGTTTCTACGACAACACCTGTTGACGTCATCCGTAGAACTTTGGGCAATGGTTTGCTCTACACCCATCTGTAATCGATAACTAAATATTATGCCTGAAGTCACGCACCTCAGATGCTGAGGCCACGATTTTGTGATATTATTTGTGTGACCCATAAATGTTATTACAAGACTGGCTATTATCAAAAAGACCCTGTACAGATAGACCTTAACTGTAAAAATCTACTTATTTTGATCATCCTGTATACAGAAAAATTAACACAATTCCAACGGAATTTTAATTTGAGACTAATTTAAAACCACCTATTTCGCTAAATAAATTTTGCACACACTTGATCGTAAAAAGAAATCATTTAATTGAGGTTAAGAACCCGGGTTAAGTTTGCATTTTCGTATGTTGACCTCATTCCGTTAAAAGGACGGAAAAACTTATATATCTTCTTTAAAAAACAGATCGTTTTATTTTATTGCATTTTTATTAGCTAATTTTAGATATTGAACTGAATCTGCGCCAACAATAAATTGAGACTCATTGAAATTATTATAAAAGCAACAAGATTATTATACAATCTGCGCCAATTGCGTTACATACCTCAATTTAAGGACCGAAATAGAAGGATCTGTAGCATCATTACGAATACCATTTAGTTATACCATTTTTATAAAGAAATATAATAGATTCAATAATTCAAATATACAGAGTGGTTCGAACTGTATTCCGGAAACTTCAGCAGCATATTCTGCAGATAAAAATAAGTAAAAAAGTTCGTATAAATGTATGTCCGAAAATGCTTAGTTTCAGAGATACAGGGTGTAGAAGTTTCTTTTTTATTTCGATGTTTTTCAAATAATTTCTGAAGTAACGTCAATATTCGAATGAAAAGTGATTAACTGTTTTGAAAAGTAATAACTTTTCGTCAGTACCTGTACAAAACGTAATATAAATATAAACGTATAAACGTATTTTACGTAAAAAATGTCTGTTGGTAAAAATCGATTGGAGCAACCATTCTCAAGATTATAATATATTTATAATAGAAATAGTCAATACATGTCATTGTTCACAAAAAATAAACATGTTGAGTTGATATAGTTATTTGACAGAAAATTATAAATTCGGGAACTTTTTATTTTTTTAAATTAATCATAAATTTTTCTTCGAAAAAATGATGATAAAACAGTTTCTGTTGAACTTTTGGCACAAAAACATTTCAAATTTATGATTTCAGTCTAATAACTATTTAATCATCCATGTTTAATTTATGCCAATGCTGACAGGTATTGATAATTTCGATTCCAAATATCTTGAGAACCATTACTCGTAGCGATTTTCACCAAGAGATATTTTTAACGTAAAAAACGTCCTAAATGTATATTTTTTACTCAATAGTTTTATACAGGCACAGAAGAAAAGATATTACACTTCAAACAAGTTAAAAAACATGTAGGTGGCGCCCTCTACAAGTAAGAGTCATATTGACATCAAAATCAAATTTATCATGTCAAAAAACTTCTAGACAACAAATTTCATCTTAATATTGACGTTACTACAGAAATTATTGGGAAAAAATCGAAATAAAAAGAAATTAACCCCCTCCGAAATGCACCTTATGCAATAACTTAATGTCAATGAGACACATTCTTTTTGAATGCTTACCTGTTGCCTCCCATAGGTCTAGATTTTTTAATGCTGTTACCTATGAGAATATTTTCGCGCCTTTTTTAACATTTCGAAGATTAATAAAGTTATGGAATTCTTAGACAGCATCAACATAGTGAAAAGGCTTTGATTGCTAACTTCAAATTACCTCATATCGGATCACCCTGTATAATGAGTGGCAAAAACGGAGAACACGTATATACAGGGTGGCCCATTAGTGCGAAGAGGTCCAATATCGTCGTCGTTGTCGAAGATATGAAAAAAATTTTATACAGATGTTCCATGGTTTTTACAATTTAAAAAAACATAAAACTTTATCATAACTTTTCCTATGACACCCTATATACAACAAAATATTTTTAGGATATGCTGTTGACGCGCTCTATACATCAGTATCTCTCTCTCTCACACATTTATACAAACTTTTTTACTTATTTTTATCTGCAGAATATGCTGTCGAAGTTTCCGGAATACAGTTCGGACCACCCTGTATAATGAGTGGTAAAAACGGAGAACACGTATATACAGGGTGACTCATTATAGTGAGAGGATGTCCAATATCGTCATCGTTGTCGAAGTTATGAAATAAAGTTTTATACGAATGTTGCATGGTTTTTAGAATTTAAAAAAAACATAAAACTTTATCATAACTTTTTTTCTGACATCCTATATACAACAAAATATTTTTAGGATATGCACCATTATAAACCATACAACCTCTCTGTATAAAACAACAATTCAGTTGTTACATTTGCAATACTCTTTTGGTTAAACATTATTGAAATTCTTTACAAAATTCTTAACACATCAATGAAGGTGTAACGGATATCACGAAAATGTGTTTCTATTAATATAAAATAAATATTATTGTATTCACTCACTTATTTTGACTGGCACCAGTTTCAAAACAAACTGAAAACTTCGAAAATTATGTATTAGCCTGTGTTAATGGTCCAACAATATTATACAGGATGTTTCCTACGATGTTCTCTATGAGTATCTCGGAAACTACTGGAGATAGAATGTGGGGTCATAAATATGCCCCTTTCAGATTTTTGAAAAAGTTCATAGCTTACTAGATGTACTAGATAAAAAAAGCAAATTTTGGCTATTTTAAAAATTGTCCCTAATTCCATTATAATCTATTTTAGAAAAAAAGTTTTCAGATAAAAGTTGTAGGTAAACACATCCTTAATGAGTTTATGTCCTCCGATTTTTTCTAAAGCCTGTTATTTTTGACATATGACACAAACATATGGTTTTTTAAAATGGAAACCATAGTTGGCCATGACTTTATAAAAAGCGCCATTTTTAATGTTTTCAGCAATATATAAGCTATAATATGTTTTTTTTTTCGCAAAATTACTGAGTTATAGCCAATTCTTATCTTTCTTGACTAATTTCCGAGCTAATTTCACTTAGTTAACCATGGTGAGTTCAATCGTCGTTGCTGTCAGAAATGTGAAATTGTCACATCCAATCTTTTCAAATTAAAATAAAAAAAAATTGTAAATATGAATTTTTCACATGAAAAAAAGCGTGTAGGATTATTGGTTCAACTTTTCTTGGCCATACAGTTTCGAGGATACGTTGACAGGTGAACGTTACTTACGTTTTTTAAAGAACGGTTTTCAAGACATGTTAGAAAAGTTAAATTTAGATACTCGCGCATTAATAGAGTGGTTCCAACATGACTTTCATTATGACACCCCCCCCCCTCCCTCCACAATGAAAGAAATGTAGAAATTTTAAAAATTATTTATATGTTAATTATATAGACTCAGGGATAGAAAGAGTTGGACCAGTTGCATGGGCCTCCTCGATAGCCTAACCTATCCATTTTAGATTTTTTATGCGGTATGGTTAACAACAAGGTTTACAAAAAAACTTATGAATTAAGAGAGGCACTCGAAGAGGCGGCACAGAAGAAGTTTAATTAAGTCGGTTGTTTAAAAAGATGCATTTATGTACTCGAAACAACAGCGGATTTTTTGAACATTATCTAAAATAACTTGAAACTGTATGTAGTGATATTATTTTTTTAAGTTTTAGTTTGTGTAATAGGAGCCGTTTAATAATATATTTTGTCTTTTTATAAGTTATAAATCATAACAAAATAAGAACGCCATGCCAACTAAGTGAAATTAGTCAAGAAAGTACGAATTGGCTATAACTCAGTAATTTTTTGAAAAAACATATTATAGCTTATATCGCTGAAAAGCTTAAAAATTGCGCCTCTTATGAAGTCATGGCCAATTATGGTTTCCATTTAAAAAAAAAACATATGTTTGTGTCATATATCAAAAATGACAGGCTTAAGAAAAAATCGGAGAACACAAACTCATTAGCGATGTGATTATCTACAACTTTTATCTGAAAACTTTTTGTCTAAAATAGATTTTAATGGAATTAGGGACAATTTTTAAAATAGCCAAAATTTGTTTTTTTTTCATCTAGTACATCTAGTAAGCCATGAACTTTTTCAAAAATCTTAAAGGCGCATATTTATGACCCCACAAAACTGCAATTCTTTCCCCATTTAACCGACTCTCTATCTCCAGTAGTTTCCGAGTACCCATAGAGAACAACGTAGGAAACTCATCCTGTATTACGATTGTTTATAAAAATAATAATTTTTTTAAATATTATTTCTATTTTTTTTAGGATGGCCCATTTGAGTGGCCCAAACTGGTCCAAGGTTTATTGCTGAGTTCCTATTTCTGGGGATATATGGTCGCAGAACTTCCTGGTGGTCGGATTGCTGAATTGTTCAGTGCAAAATGGGTGATGTTTTTTTCAGTCGCCATTAATATAATCGCGGCTTTATTGTCACCCCTTATGGCTGAACTGCATTATGGTGGGCTCTTTGTCATGAGAATTGCTCAAGGTACACCATTTTTAGTAGATATCTGTTAATATATCACAAAATGAATTATTTGTTTTACTCTGAACCGTTTGTGAAAAACTTTAAGGTTTTCTAAATATTGAAGAGGGCTATTTTGTATTTCATCGCCTAATTTTGTCTCGTCTCAGCTTATTTTCATTAGACCTACTTCGGTTTATTTCGCGAGTAGTGTAGTGGTCGTTTATCACCTAATAAATATGCAGAAAAATGCCATATCAAAAGATTTTATAAGAAAATCACCAATTTAAAAAAAAACATTATCTGATTTTTTTGGTGTTGCAAATAGTCTTTATTGTTGTGTGTTTATCCATGCATAAGAATCACAAAAGGCGAAGTTGAAGAATGCTTCCAGTCTTAACCTATTCACAATGATAAAAATCATTGTATACAGGGTTGTTCACCACATACGACACGGAGTATTGTAGCTAAACGATGAGATTTTTACAAATTGTAAGTTTTGGGTTCGATGAAGGACTATTAGAGGTACAATTTAAAAATAATTTTACAAGATAGAGAGTGTCCCAAATACGTAAAAAATATCAAAGTTGTATTTTTTTAAATGGAACACCCTGTATATTATTACATTTTTAGTTTCTACGATTAAAATAAAGGTAAATTTGATATTTACCTTTATTTTAATCGTAGTAATTATACTTAAACCTTACCGTTTTTGAAATATTTTCAATTTTGTGAAATTGCAGTAAAAATTTTAAGGCTTCATTTCTCCAAGGGTATCAAAGTGTTTAATACTAAATATTTACTGAAGTTTATTTACTGATCAGTTATTGTGTTGCAATATAAAAATAATACTACCTTATACAGAGTGTCTAAAAATTTATTTTAAATAATTATTAGCTTCAAACGGCAATAACTTGTTTAATTTAAATGGAACACCCTGTATATTTTACGAGAATCAGATGCACAATTTAATTGTCTATCAAATTATATTATACCATTTTTACCTATCTCTTTAAGTTTCCGTAGAAAATGCATTTTCTTGTAATTTGTTGGACTATTGACATTTTAGATTATTTTTAAAGATGTACCAAATTTTTAAAGAGTACAGATACTAATATTGTCGATATAATTCGTTTATTTCATTAAAAAATAAAAAAAAACTGTTTAAATATTTGTTAAAGAGGATCAATTAATATGATTCCAGTATTCAAACTACATTAACTGACTGTTTGCGTTGATTAATAATAATTGCTCCAAATACTAAAAAACTGAATTTTGTATGGGCATTAGAAAGTGTGATAAAAAGTAACACCTTAAAAATGATATTTCATTTTTTAATAAATGCTTATTTATAACAACAAAGACTTTAATTTGATAATTTATTATTATATTGATTTCTGACTCAAAAATCCACATTTATTTATAATAATTTATTAACGAACACAATTAAGTATGTCATTAATTAGTATATGGGCGGAAATAATGGTGTTATATTTAATTAATGGTATACTCTTTTATAAAGATTTAAATAGTTTTCTTTTTGCATACAAATGGGCTAGTAATATTATCGTTTTGCTAAAAACGATAATATTACTAGTCTGTACATTTTGTACATTTGTTACTTTAAAAACAATCTAAAATGTCAGTATTCCATGGATATATTGATAAATGAAGTCTAAATTATAAGAAAATGCATTTTCTACGAAAACTTGAAGGGATAGGTAAAAAATGGTATAATACAATTTGATAGACAATTTAATTGTGCATCTGATTCTCCTAAAATATACAGGGCATTCCATTTAAATTAAAGAAGTTATTGCCGTTTGAAGCTAATAATTATTTAAAATAAATTTTTAGACACTCTGTATAAGGTAGTATTATTTTTATTATTGCAACATAATAACTGTTCAATAAATAAACTTCATTAGGTATTTAGTTTTAAAAACATTGATACCCTTGGAGAAATAAAGCTTTAAAATTTTTACTGCAATTTCACAAAATTGAAAATATTTCAAAAACGGTAAGGTTTAAGTATAATAAACCTTAATCAAATTTACCTTTATTTTAATCGTAGAAACTAAAAATGTAATAATATACAGGGTGTTCCATTTAAAAAAATACAACTTTGATATTTTTTATTTATTTGGGACACTCTGTATATTGTAAGTTATTTTTAAATTGTACCTCTAATAGTCCTTCATCGAACCTAAAACTTGAAATTTCTAAAAATATAATCGTTTAGCTACAATACTCCGTGTCGTATGTGGTGAACAACCCTGTATACACCTACAATGATTTTTTAAACTCGAAAACAAAATATAAAATAAGTTTGTGTTAAAAACATTAATAAGAGAAGATAAATATAGGTGATTGCTTTTAATAATTTTTGTTAATTTATTTACATTGATTAAACCAATTGAATTGAAGTTATATTTATTAACTAGTGTTTATTATTGTGCATAGATTGTAGAAACGGTTGTAACTGTATAAATTATAGTTAAGCAATTAATTGTTTATTTACTGCAGTAGGTATAGATCCGTTGATGACATAAATGTAATTTAAAATTTAATTGTAATTGTAAATGTCCATATAAGCATCATTTTGATTTAGTTTGCTTGATTTATTTATTTTTGTATCATAAAAATGTATTTTATTACTTGTTTAAATAATAGAAATATAATAAACAAAAGTCCGTTTAAAAAAAAAAGCAAAGTCTAAAATATCTCTCTATATGAAATACTTGTTAATAATTGTTTAGTTAACAATTATTGTGGTTGTGGTTATTGCGAATACTTAGTTTGGTGTCTTCCATAAAAAAATAAAATTCTTCTTAGCATTATGTCAAGAGAAATATCAGTTTTTCAAAAGCCTTGCAAATGGTACGATTCAGGAAACCATGTTGCCCAAGTCGTACCATTAAGCTCCGTGCGCACTGAATAGGTATCGGCGAGAGCGAGCGGCACGACCGGTCGGAAAGTCGATTGTAGCCGCGCACTGGAGTCGCACGATCGACGGTCGAGAGTACGTCACCAGCATAAATTTGAGCATAGACGAGGAGAAGTTTATTCAAATTTAGTCAAATTCATTCGGCATTTCAAAAAATTATAAAGTATTATTACTATTTATATTTTTATGCAACTTTTTATATTTTATGCTTTATGATGGAAATTGATATTATTTAGATATTAACCAAACACACATTAATATATTTAGATCTTAACAAACCACATAAAATTAGTGAAATAGAGTGGAAGATGGGGATAAAATATACTACATGACTCTTAGCTTAACCGATTTTAACAAATTTGGTATAACTCCAAAGGGTTTAATTTGTTCTTTAAAAACAAAGCTAGATATAAAAAATAGTCAAATAAAACTTCTATTTTTAGTTTTTTAATCTAAATAAGTGTCATTACAAACATTTATATATAGCTTTTATTTTAAGTTTTTAAAATCTTTGTTTTAAGTCAGTAGTAAATAAAACGAAACTTGTGTTTACATTTGGTTAATGATTGACGTTTCGACCAATTTTAATTCGGTCTTCTTCAGAATCTATAATATACGTATAAATAATTTTCTACGTTTGTGTTAAGAAAAAATTATATATTAAACACATTGTTAGTGATAAAATTGTATTGTATATTATAGATTCTAAAGAAGACCGAATTAGAATTAGTCGAAACGTCGATCATTAAACAAAATGTAAAAAAAAGTTTCGTTTTATTCACTACTGACTTAAAACCAAGATTTTAAAAACTTAAAATATAATAAAAAAGTCAAAGAAAATTGAAAAAAGAAAAAATATAAATAGTTTTTATAGTACCGTATTATCGAAAAGGAACGGCATCAGCGATGACCATGAAATGAAGGTCGGTGCCATTTTATATGTAAATTTATATAGGAAATGTCATCAATCGTCATTTCCCATCCAACTGGATGCCGTTTTTTTCTATCATACGGTAGATATATGTACAAATATTTTATTCAAACATAAATATTATTTTCTCTATTTGTACCTTTTACGGAGCGATCAACATAGTAACATAGGATGACTATTTATCAGCTGTTATTACTAACGTCGAAACAAACCAAAAATTAAATAATATGATAAGTTTTTTGACGATATTTAAATTATTTTGACGAGAAATAAATGGGTGTAATCGGAAGGTTTTCTACGTCAGTTATTGAATAAGTGTAGTAAACAATATTCGTTACGTGCTTGTAAGAAATTTTTATAAAAAACCGCATATTAAGTATGATATGGTCTCGTACACTTTCGATTAATAATTCATCGGACATGTTTAATGTAAAACCGCTCCACTAAAAACAGTCGCTCGGCGTAGACTATTCGCCCCCTCCCATGCATTCTCTGATTTCGCCTGATGGCGCGAGTACCGCCGATAGCTCGAAGCGCACCGAGCGCACCGATCTAATGCGGTGCGCGGGCTTACATTTATTTCAACGTAAACTGAAAATTACGTGTCGCTCGCTCTCGCCGATACCTATTCAGTGCGCGCGGAGCTTTAGGGTTCCTATATCGTACCCACAATCTGAAATATATCTGACACATATCTATACAGGGTGGTCCGAATTATTCCGGAAACTTCGGCAGCATATTCTGCAGATAAAAATAAGTAAAATAAGTTTGTATATATGTAAGTCGTAAAATGCTTAGTTTCGGAGATACAGGGTGTAGAAGTTTTATTTTTATTTCGATTTTTTCCAAATAATTTTTGAAGTAACGTAAATAATTGGATGAAAATTGGTGACTAGGAGTTTTTTAACATAAGAAATTTGATTTTGATATCAATATGACTCCTGTTTGTTGGGGGCGCCACCTACATGTGTTCTAACTATTTTGAAGAGTAATAACTTTTCGTCCGTACCTGTATAAAACTACTGTGTGAAAAAATATACATTTCTGCGATTTTCTACGTAAAAAATGTTGCGAGCAACCGTTTCAAGATATTTAGAATGGAAATAGTCAATACATGTCATTATTGACAAAAAATAAAAGTGTTGGGTAAATAAATTATTTGACTAAAATGATAAATGTGGGAACTTTTTGTTTTTTGTTAATTAATCATAAATTTTTCTTCGAAAAAATTATGATACAGTTTCTGTTAAACTTTTAGCACAAAAACATTTCAAATTTATGATTTCAGTCTAATAACTATTTAACATATAATTTCGATTCAAAATATCTTGAGAACCATAACTTAAAAAACATCGTAAATGTATATTTTTACTCAGTACTTTTATACCCAGGTAAGTATTCTTGATTTATATCAAATGGGATAACCAAACTCTCTCCGTCTAAAATAATTCCATCGATATTAGACATATCTGCATTCTTTTCGAGCACTTCTGTAATAATATTATCTATGCTCTTTGATGGTGACGAATTTGCAATTGGTAAAATGGCTTGGTTGATATTTTCTAATAAAATACTGAAAATAACAATTTCCATACAGTTATGTTTGTGAATTTATTATTGACCGACCGGTCAACAGGTAAAATCCTATAGACCCAATTACTGACCAAAAGAAAGCTAAAGAATGACTCTAATAGGGATCGCATATTTGTTTTAAAAATACTAATTATAGTCAAAATATTATCATGGTCATTATTTGGCCTAAGTGTAGTTTAGTTGGCCTAAGTGTAGTTTATTTGGCCTAAGTGTAGTTAATTTATTTTTCAATAAAAAAATGTTACACTATTAAAATAGATAAAATAAAAGGAATTATAATTAGTATTGTAATAAACCAATTATTGACCGGTCGGTCAATAATTAGATTTTCTATGGTTAAACGCACCCAAATATTGACCAATAATTATTTTACATTAAATGTTATAAAATATTTAATTTAAAGTATGCATTTATCAAAAATATACCCTCGTTAATGTCTAGAAACTAAAATATAGAAGTAATGTGCTTATCTTAATTGTATTCGCCTCAAACTAACAAAGCACGCTGTTAACACCTTCAACCCCTAATAACGACTAAACGGGCTGATCAAATTACCCGAATGTGTCTTCACAGGTAGGTATTGTTTCCGCCGCGCCGTAATCGCCGTACATAGGCGTCCCACAAGGGAGCCTCTCACAATTAAAATAATTTCCAATTATATTTGTTGAATTTTGAACTATTAAAACAAGAACGTAGTAGCCGGTAATTGAATTATAATTCGTCTCAATTACTACTTAACTGTTGTAGATCATAACAAATTTGAATATAAACGTTGCATTTGAAACTTTATTATAAGCCAGAAAGTGACATTTTTTTTCTTAAAATTGCGTCATATTTTGGTCATTATATACGATATTCTAAAGGAATTTTGCTCAATAAATAAACAAAGATGTTTACCCGCCCTTTTTTACATTTTATTGCATTATTATATCTGCCCCTTCGGCCTCGTTTAAACAATTTTTACCACCGTACAAATACCTCTTCCTAGAGTTATTTGTACGGTGTGTTCTTTTTTTAGAATGGGACGAACTGTAAATAATTCTTAGGCTACTAGTTTTATAGATACCTATATACAGAGTGACCCAGGTCTCCAAAAAAGCTTTTACCTATTACGTTTTAGGTTTGTAATTTTATTTCAATTTTTACATAAGATGGGGGCCATTGTAACGCACATTTTCAAAATATTTTTGTCAACATACAGGGTGATTCTCGGGGTGATTCAAACCGCAATACATATGCTTAATACAGTTCATGAAGATTGGGACATTTAACTAAAATTTGATTGTCTGATGAAGCTACCTTTAAAAGTAATGTATTTGTAAATAAACGTAATATTCATTATTATGCGACAGAAATCCCATACTGTAGCATACAGATTTGATACTTTTAATGATAAATGCCTTCTATTGAGAGACTAAAAGGTAATTGCCTCGTATCAAAGCCATCATAATACAAGAAGAAGACCGAAAGTCAAATCTTGTCTTATATTTTCAAAAAAACACAATTTTCTCATTAAATATTGATTTTAGGTATAGGAAGTTATTAATAATACAAGATTAAACAACTATTACATAGTACTTTACAGGAAGCTATCGATTGCGAACTAACTAAATCGTTACTAATTACTAATTTTAAAAAGTTCTTTTTAAGATCAAAAAAGGTAAAACTATTCCTAAACGACTAAAAAGAACCCCTAATAACGACTAAACGGGCTGATATGTTTTAAATAAATTGGAGGCTGATTTAAAAAAGTAAATATAAAAATTATGTGAAAAACATAAACCTTAAATAAGTCTAAATGAAATGTAGGCGTTGAATTGTTTATAAATGTTTTAAAATTCTTATTTAAGAAGTATAAAGACAAAATCGGCCAATAATTGGCGATCGGTCACTAATTGGCTACTTACCATACGGACGAAAAGTTATTACTCTTTAAACCAGTTAAAAAATATGTAGGTGGCGCCCCCTACAAGGAGTAGTCATATTGACATCAAAATCAAATTTCTCATGTCAAAAAACTCCCAGACCCAATTTTCATCCAAATATTGACGTTACTTCATAAATTATTTGGAAAAAAAAAGTGTCTACACCCTGCATCTCCGAAACTAAGCATTTTAGGACATACATTTATACGAATTTTTTAACTTATTTTCATCTACAAGAATAGGCTGTAAAGTTCCGGAATACAGTTTGGACCACCCTGTATAATGAAAAAAGCCCGTTTTTTAAAAAGCAAAGTTTAAAATATATCTCTAAATGAAATACTTGTTAATAAAATTTATTAATAAACCGTGGTGGTGATATTTGCGAATACCTACTTAGTTTGATCTCTTCCATAAAAAAAAAAGATTTTTATTAGCACTATGCCAACAGAAATATAAATTTTTCAAAAGCCTTGCAAATGGTACGATTCAGGAAAAATTAAATAATTTATAATTAAAATTAATTAATTAATTTTTTTATTTTCATTTTATTTATTTATTTTAAGATATTATTAATTGACTATGTCAATACATTGTATTTGGTGCATAGTATTGCTAATAAGTATTAGCAAATACAATGTCAACAACTTTGTTGACTAAAGTTTAACTAGGTAATGAGTTTCTATTTGCTTTTTTTAGGAATTGGTGGAGGAGTCAGCTTTCCAGGTATGCACGTAATGTTAGCACATTGGGCACCTCCCAATGAAAGAAGTGTTATGAGCAGTATTGTGTATGCAGGCACTGCGCTAGGTACAGTAGTAAGTACCTTTTAAGTTCCTTTCTGTCTGTAAAATACATATTTTTCAACTGTTACAGTGGATGATATAGATAATAAAAAAGTTAAAGATTTATATATTAGATTACTTAACATTACTTAATCATTTTAGGTATTCATGCTGGTATCTGGCTTGATAGCAGGCAAAATAGGTTGGCAGTACATTTTCTATCTCGAAGGAGCTATCAGCGCTGCTTGGTTGCTTCTCTGGGGTATCCTGGTAGCTGACACGCCGGCGAAACAAATATATGTTGATAAAAAAACACTGAAAAGCACATATTTGTTTTCTACTGAAAATAATTCCAAAATAACTTGCAATCTGGCAACATCGAAGATGTGCACATGCGTAGTGTCTGTGACTATATGCAGCAAAAACTCGTTTCAAGGTCAGCCACCGGATCCACACCATTACCATTTTTTTTATGAAAATATAAAAACACTTGTTATAAAGTCCTAAAGCAAGTAACAAAATATATTAAACTTTAAATCATTTGAAAATGTTAAGATGTTAGGTTAGGTTATAATGAAAGAAGAATCTGTGCAAGTAGTTTAAAATGTTTGTGTTCTTTAGGAAAAATTGAAGATGCCCTGGAAGGCAGTTTTCCTGTCGCCTGCTTTCCTAGCCATCTTAATAGCGCACACTTGTTCAAACTGGGGATGGTACATGGTACTTATCGAGTTGCCTCTGTATATGAAGAGCGTGCTCAAGTTCAAGATATCAGAAAATGCTGTTCTGACGGCATTACCTTTCTTCTGCATGTGGTTGTTCTCGATGGTACTGAGCAAACTGTTGGACTCTTTGCGAGGAAGAAATGTAAGTATTTTTGTATATTAACCTGATTAACAGTCGTTTATATACCGTGCTGGCAACTCTTACTTTTGGGTCGGTATTTACATGTGTGGAAATAAATCGCATAGGGATCTTATTAAGTCGGAGTGAGAGAAATGCGACGGTATGCAGTTGCGGCGTTGCCACACTACTCCGGTACGCCTTTATGAAGTAAAGTAAAATTACGATTGAGCATCTGAAATGGAATTATAAGGATCTCGTTAAAGTGTCTATATTTTTTATAACGAGAAAACGTCAGTAATCGCAATAATTTAAAAACTCAACTTTTTAAAACATAACAGGCGATAACTCAAGAACTACTTTAGATATTGAAACTTTTTTTTATTTCGAAGTCTTTTTTAAGAAAGTTTGTTGTGTTTATTGTTTTTTTCCATTTAAATTAAAGAAAACATCCATTTACTTTTAGTCTCGTTTTTAGTGCATTGCAAAAATCAATCGTGTATCTTTTTTATTTATAAAGATTTTCACATACTGTCTGCGAAGAAAATATAGCAAAAATAAAAAGCAATATAGCAATAAATATTCTAATGGATTTCGAGATATCGATTTTTGAATTCAGAGTTCTAATAGCGACGACCACTGTCGAACACCAACTCAATTCCACTTATTTTTACCAAAAGTACAAGTGTTTCTAACTTGCACTTAAAAATTTACATGCTATAGGAAAAATTACAACGACTCGTTAATAAATAAACAAATAAAGCACTGTTCCCTAGAATTTTAAGCACTGATATGGTAGTGATTGGGTCGACCGGTCGACCGACACAAATCTGCTATATCCCCTTCCACGGCTCTTAGCAATGTACACAGCCTCTCAGTTTATTTCATACGTTTGGCAACGTTTTTACTGTTTTCTCTTTGTTCAGTACATTATAAACGCATTGTACTCTTCTTACATACGGAAATCTCGACCCAAGACTAACCTTTGTCAGCCCTTAGTATTAACAGTTGTGGTCCTTATACGAGATCCTTGTAGCGTGCAAACTTATATAGGACACTGTGTATAGTATCGATATTTTTTTTTAAACTAAGTATCAGAGTTTTTGTTTAATTAAGTGGAGTATACAAAATTCTGTTTCATTTGTTCTCTACGTTTTTGTGATTTGTAATCTTTTGGCAGTACCTAAAGTTTAAGGCAGACCAACTATCAACAGAAATAAAAATCTCTAGTCTGCCGCGGTTCTTGAAGCATATACAATTGTACGATTTCTGACAACATATTATATTTGCAGAAAATCACAACGACCACAGCTAGAAAACTAGCCACAGGATGCGCTAGCTTCATACCGCTGATATGTTTCGTCGCCCTGTGTTACGTGGACAACAGAGGAGCTGCAGTAGCTCTGATGACCATCGCCATTACAGCCATCGGTGGAATGTTCTGCGGATTTTTATCGAACCATATTGACATTGCTCCGAACTACGCCGGAACACTCATGGCATTGACCAACACTGTAGCTACAATTCCCGGTATTGCAGTTCCTATTTTCGTCAGTGAACTGACCAAAAAAGACGTAAGTATACCAATAATTTTGTCCTGTTTTATAATAGTTATTTACAGTACAAGTGTGTTTATGAACATGATTATAACAACGAGTGTGAACGATTAGAACGACGAGGTCGTGTGATTAGAACGAATCGTTCTAATCACACGAGTGTTGTAATCATGTTTAAACGCATGTGTCATGTACAACGTTTTATCTACAACCGAAAAATAAGAAAATGCTGTTTTAATTTTCGTCTATTAGTCGCCCACCTTCAACACCTTTAACTATGACATTTGTCACATTTTTTTCTGATAAGTCAGTTTGCCCTGTCAAGTAAACGCGAGCACTTTTTGCCCAGAAAAATCATTTTAAAAATTACGATGAGCGATTCCCAAAGTCTCCCTTCAGATGTAGAAGTTGCCGCAGTACGTGCCACGGAAACATTATTGCCGGAAAAGTTAATATATTTAGATGTTCGTAGTTGTTTTTCATTATTATAAAAACTAGTTGTGTTATAGATTCATAACACCACTAGTTGTGTTATGAATCTCATAACGATCGGTCGGAAAGTCGATTGTAGCCGCGCACTGGAGTCGCACGATCGACGGTCGAGAGTACGTCAGCAGCATAAATTTGAGCATAGACGAGGAGAAGTTTTTTCAAATTTAGTCAAATTCATTCGGCATTTCAAAAAATTATAAAGTATTATTATTATTTATATTTTTATGCAACTTTTTATATTTTATGCTTTATGATGGAAATTGATATTATTTAGATCTTAACCAAACACACATAAATATATTTAGATCTTAACAAACCACATAAAATTAGTGAAATAGAGTGGAAGATGGGGATAAAATATACTACATGACTCTTAGCTTGACCGATTTTAACAAATTTGGTATAACTCAAAAGGGTTTAATTTGTTCTTTAAAAACAAAGCTAGATATGAAAAATAGTCCAATAAAACTTCTATTTTAGTTTTTAATCTAAATAAGTGTCATTACAAACATTTATATATAGCTTTTATTTTAAGTTTTTAAAATCTTTGTTTTAAGTCAGTAGTAAATAAAACGAAACTTGTGTTTGCATTTTGTTTAATGATTGACGTTTCGACCAATTTTAATTCGGTCTTCTTCAGAATCTATAATATACGTATAAATAATTTTCTACGTTTGTGGTAAGAAAAAATTATATATTAAACACATTGATAGTGTGTTGTATATTATAGATTCTAAAGAAGACCGAATTAAAATTAGTCGAAACATCAATCATTAAACTTATAACCAAGATTTTAAAAACTTAAAATATAATAAAAAAGTCAAAGAAAATTGAAAAAAGAAAAAATATAAATAGTTTTTATAGTACCGTATTATCGAAAAGGAACGGCATCAGCGATGACCATGAAATGAAGGTCGGTGGCATTTTATATGTAAATTTATATAGGAAATGTCATCAATCGTCATTTCCCATCCAACTGGACGCCGTTTTTTTCTATCATACGGTAGATATATGTACAAATATTTTATTCAAACATAAATATTATTTTCTCTATTTGTACCTTTTACGGAGCGATCAATATAGTAACATACGATGACTATTTATCAGCTGTTGTTACTAACGTCAAAACAAACCAAAAATTAAATAATATGATAAGTTTTTTGACGATATTTAAATTCGATTTTCAAAATAATGTGAGATAATCAAAACGAGATGCGAAATAAATGGGTTTAATCGGAAGGTTTTCTAAGTCAGTTATTGAATAAGTGTAGTAAACAATATAGGTTACGTGCTTGTAAGAAATTTTTATAAAAAACGCATATTAAGTATGATATGGTCTCGTACACTTTCGATTAATAATTCATCGGACATGTTTAATGTAAAACAGCTCCACTAAAAACAGTCGCTCGGCGTAGACTATTCGCCCCCTCCCATGCATTCTCTGATTCCGCCTGATGGCGCGAGTACCGCCGATAGCTCGAAGCGCACCGAGCGCATCGAGCGCACCGATCTAATCCGGTGCACAGACTTACATTTATTTCAACGTAAACTGAAAATTACGTGTCGCTCGCTCTCGCCGATACCTATTCAGTGCGCGCGGAGCTTAACTGAAATACTAAAAAAATAGTGATGTAAAAACGTTATAACTAAACGGTTGTAGATAAATGTATTTAAACGCTTAAACATGTTATAAATTTTTATATATAATCATTCAATTTTATAAATACAAAGTCAAAAATTGTACAGGGAGGGCCAGATTGGACGCTTTTAAAAGGAAACACCCTTTTCTATAGGAGATAGACGAAAAATAATATCTGAGCTCAATTTTTATCAAAAACATGATGGTGAAAATCGCACATCGATATATGTTACCGTTTCGAAGTTACTGGGTGTTCTTCAAAAATGTGCATTATTAAAAAATCGTTGTTTTTACTATGGAAAATTTTGTATTTTTATCATACATTTATATGCATTTCCAAAGCACCTTTTATGTAGAGTTTAATGGTTTAAGTATATTTTTTTTAAATTAATAATTTAAGAATTATCAACAGAAAATTTGATTTTATATATGGGACACCTTAATAATTTAATTAATTGAAAAGAATTTAAAATTACCTTTTCAAAAATATAGCATACTTGACATTTTGCTCGATACCTCTTCGAGATATAGAGTTTTAAAAAATTCGCCCACTTTGAATAAGTAGGCTTTGAACGGCGCCGGCTGTAATGCAAATTTTTTTTATTTAATTAAAAATATACAGGGTGTCCGAAATAAAAAATCAATTTTTCTGTTAATAACTCTTAAATTATTAATTTAAAAAATATATATTTAAACGATTAAATTCTACGTAAAAAGGTGTTTTGGAAATGTTTTCATAAAAATACAAAATTTTCCATAATAAAAAAGTTGCATCGATTTGTTAAAAAATGCACATTTTTTAAAATACCCGTAACTCCGAAACGGTAGCAGATATCGAAGTGCCGTTTTCACCATCATGTTTTTGATAAAAATTGAGCTCCAGACACCGATATTATTTATTGTCTATCTCCTATAGATAAGGACGTTTCCCGTTAAAAGCGTCCAATGTGACCCACCCTGTACATTTTCAAGAAGACAATAAAAAGCCAAAAAAAAAAGAAAAGAAAACTCTGTCAATTATTAGTAAATTATAATTTTAAAGTCTCAAGATTAAATTTGTATCATGAATAACGAAAGCAAATGTTCTACTCCTTTTTCAGGACTCCATTTCTTCCTGGAGGATAATATTTTGGGTGACGATAGTACTTTACATAGTCGAAATCGTGGTTTATATGGCATTCGGATCTGGAGAGGAACAGAAATGGAACAGAGCAGGACAGATTGAAGTTGGTGAATCTCAACCGTTAAAGTCACAAATTAGTCCGACTACAAATAAAAGTGACAAAATATAAATGTTTTTTTTATTAAAAATTTATACATCGTGTATTGTCTATGTCTCAAATAATATGTTAGATAATAATTTATCAACATAGAACCATCCTGTAATTTAACTAAAGTCTGCCCAACTTGTTAGGGATGATTTCGACAATGCCGTCTCTAAATAACCAAAAGAAATAAAGTGACAGCTACAACTCACTCACTCTTAGAGATAGACTATAACTGTCTTTCATTGGACAGACTATAATTTATTTTTTTATTGTACAGTATTGGCTTTCTAGAACAGAATATACAGTTACATACAGATTGTTAACTGGACAGTTACCTATAGGGGAACAGAATGGCAACACTGACTATTGAGAACGCATGCACTTATAGGATTTTCTGCCGACTCGTCCCGTCGCGTCATCTATCGATGAGCGGGCCGAGTTTGCCATATTTCAACCATAAAGCTTTTGCTGCGGGTAATAAACAAATTAACAACCTGTAGAGTTAAACTTACTAAGATTCTATAGGTTTTATCTTCATTTCTTCATTCAAAAAAAAATGACCAAATTGATATTTATTCGATTAATTCTTACAAATTTGATTGTAACTGTATTTTTGTACAACTTTTTTTAGGTTGAAGCTTTGAATAAGAAGACTAAGGAAGGAGCATAATGCTATCCATGTATTCATGCATGGTGGGCGGAAAAAGCACCATAAAAGCACTCTAGGGTGGGCATCCTTGACAGTTCTGTTTGACGATTCATTTGACACATTTGAATTTGATTTGAAATTTTGTGGATTTGTCAGTCTTTACGGAGCTTATTTTATGTTATTTATTATTTATTCTACTACTGATAGTTGTATAAAGGTAGTAAATCTAGATGGAAATTGTGGCAGAACTTAAATTAACAGTGACACTATCGCGATTTATCGAAAAAGATTCTAAAATAGTTGGTTGTGTAGCGTGCGGTAGATCTCGGAAAAAATTGAGTGAAATAATGGAACAACTTTTCGCTAGTAAGTGACTATATAATATACATACGTGTAGTAAACCGATCATTTATGAAATTCACTTAAATTAACTAAATTATATATTTTCTTGCATTTTAGCTTTTATTTATTACTTGTCAAAGATTAGATGTCAAGGAATTTAGATACGTTAATTTGACTTACCTGCTTCAGTAGCGTATCGGATGTTTGTGTTAATAAATACTTATTATAACTTATCTATTTTTATTAGAATTATATATTTTTATTACAATTTTAATAACTACCAACATTTATTCACAACGTAAAATAAAACAACAAATTATTGAGTCTACCCTACATCATAGTTTTACATTTTTTAAATAAAATTAGGACGACACTGATAAACCGGAATTTAAGTCGGCCATATTTGAGGCCCATCGCGGTGTACCTAAGATTTTTGATATGCTCCTTCCTTAGTCTTCTTATTCAAAGGGTTGAAGTGTGACTTTTTAGTTGTATAATATTGACTTTAATTACGATTTCATTGTAAATGGCATTTATTTTCTGAAATGTATAATCTTATGTTATATTACGCTTCTAGGAATCATATAATTATTGTAGTTTCTTTATATGATAATATAAAGAAAAAAGAATAATTAAGAACCCCAGATTATTGCTTATATTTCTAATACTAAACTTATAATGTCAGTTCAACAGTAGGGATATAAGATTAAAATTGAAATTAATTTTATTAATTAATTTTAAGTGATGTGAACTTGTTTTTAAAAACACTTAAATGCTTTATTCTACTAGTCGGTAATAAAAATATAACAATTAGGAGATCTGTCATATGACATATAAAGCCTCTCCAACGAGTCAGGAAAGATTTCGACAGAGAAAATGATAGAAAATGCAATTTATCTGTGAATTAAAATGACAGACAACTGTCACTGTCAAGGACCATCTTGTTGGACAGATTTTACCTTTTGTCATCTTCATATTAATTTATTTATACCTAATTATATAACAAAATATTTAGTTATATTATAAAGTACATAAGAATTTCACTTAAATTATATTAATATTTTTAAGTGGCTTTTAGCTTTCATAATTATTTTCCAATAATTAAGAATCTCATTTTAGACAAAATAATATGCAAAATATTATACCTATATGTTTATTTTTTATATTAGATAATTGAAGCTGATTGTAGGGAAGAGTGGCTTACGCAGGTGCATTTTAAAGATTGACTTCAGTATTTTAGAGACACTATTCTTCGATATATTTATACGAGAATATAATTGTAAATTTAGATAAAACATTAATATTAAGTAATATCCATTTATGTATATAATATGTGACTATGATTACAAATAAATATCATTAGACCCATTCAAATCGCTATTATGATGATATTTTTAATGTGAACTAAAGTATAACTAACGAGCCAGAGAAGACTTCGACAAACGACATCAAAAAAATTATAGAAATTACAACTTATCTATGAATTAAATAACAAATACATCATTGAATAAATAAATAAATAAATGCCTTTATTGTCAAAAATTTTTACAATTTGTAAACAAAGGTAAAGTAAACAAACAAAGTAAACAAACAAAAAAGAATACAAAACATTATACAAATAACAACAAACAAACAAACAAAAGAGAATACAAAACATTATACAAATAACATTGCCAGTCTTATTGTTTAAAATAAACATTTATAAATGTTTACAATGTCAAAGAACAAAAAAATAAAAATAATACTCAAAAATATTTAGTAAGTTTATAGTAAATATCAATGACCTCTAGATAAATTTATTTCGATGTCATTGGTAAATATAGTAATAGCAAATTAGACCAGTGTTTAGAAGATCAAATTCGATTATCAAAATATAAGTCATTTACGGCGTAGAAAGCCTTGTCTAGTAAATAAGATTTCAATGCTTTGCGAAATGAAGAAAATTATGTAATGGATTTGATTTCAAATAGCAGGTTATTGTGCATTTTTTTCGAGTTGTATAATATTGAACTTTTAACTAACTCTGAGCGTGGGGTAGGTAGATAAAGATCTTGCTCCGCGTTCCTGAGTGGATAAGTGTGAGATGGCCTTTCTTGAGAAGCTGATACAAGCTTACGTATTAAGCAAACTGATTCAAATATAAATAAGGAAGGAAGAGTTAATATTTTTAATTTCTTAAAAAAGTCCTGGTAATGAGTTCTCCTGTTTAATCCCAGTTAATATCGAACAGCTCTCTTCTGGAGCTTGGAAATGCGGTCAAATTGACACGCACAACATGTACCCCAGAATGGAAGGGTATATTTGAGGTGCCGACTCAAAAAGTGCATAATAAACAGTTCTAGCAACTGACAAGTTAAGCTCCTCAGAAACAGCTCTTAATGCAAAACAGGCAGAGCTTAATTTTTTCGACAAAATGTCGAGATGCATGTCCCATTTCAGAGAATTGTCTACAACATGCCCTAAATATTTTACAGATTTTACGATTGTGTTTGTTATTTAATTTGCAGTGTCATTGTTATGTATCCTTTGGACTGACTATAGATGTTCATCTAGTAATTTAGCTATATGACAATATTTAATCAAGAGTCAGCAGGGACTTCAAAGTCAGGTCATACTGTCAGGAGGGACTTGACTGCTTGTTGAAGAAATAATTTACCATTGAATTAAATGAGAGTGAAAAAATAAGTCGTGTCACTGAATTGGCAGATTTTAAAATATGATTATATGCGCTAACAACTAATAATGTATTTTTATATTCATAGAATATACAAACATTTTCAAATATACAAATAATATACAAAAGTCAATGCTTATATGTATGTATTTTTTGATATACTATACTATTTATATCAGAAAAACAACAGTATAAGTAAGTATTGTATAGATTTTCACAGATTTTCACTGTATTTGGCCAGCATGGTTTACAACTGAACATAGCCATATTAATTAATAATAAAAAACATTTTTATGCTGTTTTAGCCAGATATAGTGTATTCTTCTTCTAGTCTAGTGCGATCTAAAGACATCAAATAATATAGCTACACAAATTCATTACAAAACTAATCATATAAATTAAATGATAGATAGATATATTTCAAAATTTTATATTAACCAGATAATTTTAAAAAGACTGAAAACTCATATACTGCTGTTAGTTTTCTATAAAAAATAGTTTCTTTTAATATGAGTTTTGCTTTAATTTTTGTAAATAATGAAAATTAGATTGATTTTATGATTGAATTATAACATGTTAAAATATTAACATAATTAAGATTATTAATATTAAATGTACCTACCTTACAAGTGTGCAACAGTTTTAATTGTAAGAAATTGTAACCAAACACTTGTGTAAAAAAGATTATTACCAATTCAATTGGTTGGAGTAATATAAATTAATATCATTATTTTACAAAAAAAATATAACTAATAATAACAGATCTTGAAATTGTATTTTAATTAAATATTTAAGTTTAATATAAGTATTTGTTGCTTTATAAGTATATTTTATGCAAAAAATTTAGTGTTAAACTGTGTTATAAAAATAAAGAGTATATTGTATCTTGAACTTGCAGATGTATTTAATTAAACCCTTTAAAAGTGATTATATTAGCATTCGTCCCCGATTTTTATTATACAGGGTGTTCTAGGAATAAGTGCAAGTATTTTAACTGGTAGTATAGTTCAACCCCAGACTCAAGCCTATGTGTTTTTTTCGCGAAAAAAAAATTTGAAAATTCGTAATTTTTAGGAATTTTTTTTACTTTTTGGTTAAAAAACATAATTTCTTGATAATATGGCAACATAGGTATTAGATTAAATTTACAAGAAAGAAAATCCAGAAAAGATCTAGTGGTTCTCAAAATTTTAACAAAAAATATTTTTTTTTTGGAAATTTTCAAAGTAAAGAACTCCCTTATTTTGGACTTATTTAAAAAACGATAAAGGGAAAATATGTTTCTTTTATCGAGATCTACCACATCTTAAAATACTTGCACTTATTCCTGGGACACCCTGTATAACAAAGACAAGTTGTTTTGAAATGGTAATTTACCTACCATGACCTAATACAACAAATTACATTTTTACATGAAGTAAACATAAAAATAAGCTGTACTTTGTAGAGCTGAAAACTTTCATACGTTTGTTAATTTTCTATAAACTATTTTGATACCAGGAAATAATAATTACTCATTGGCAAAGATTGAATTTTTATTTGTCATTTAAATTTTGACTTTGAAAATTACATACCAAATTATGACATTCTTTTGATATTTTGAAAGAAAATGTATTTTTAAAAATAATCACATGCTAAACCACATAAATAATAAACAATGATCAAGATTTGAATAAGAAACATTTTATATCTAGGTACTCCTTTAGGTATATAATTCATTCTACTGTATAGGCTCAAGATAGGAATGTAAGTCAAGCGTTTATTATTATATCACTGTAACTATCGTTAATTTTATTTGTAGAGTACAAAAATCAAAATAAACTACGATGGAAGTAGAAGCCAGAGGAGGGATCGGTAACCTTTTTTTAAAAATATTTGTGGCCATAAAAATTAAATTTAGCTAGGTCTTAATTAGTATTATATTTAATTAGTTAGGTCTTAAAAGTTCGTATGATTATAATAATAATATTCTACTAACAATGAAGACTGATTCATTTAGGGGTAGGAAGTTTTGGTGATACAACAGCAAAATAAAACACTAATTCACCACAATACACCAAAACACTTTACTTTTAACAGTGGCCAGAAATTGCAGTATACACAGGCCACTGTAGGCTTACACCGCCTATCTGTAGACCTTGGAGATACCATCACCCTCGAATTAAAAGGTTGGGTCTTGAGGATGGAATTTAACAAATTGCAGAACTAGAAAGAGTCCCCAGTTGGACTCGCTCTTGGTAAACTAGAAAATATGTTTAAAGCTAACCTGCTGATGTGATTTTAGGTAAAATATCAACCCGATATCTACTTGCAATACTAGGTTGCATCGGTATGGGCATAATCTATGGACTGAAGGTGAATTTTCATGTCGCGATAGTGAGCATGGTAAATCACACTGCAGTTGGTGGTAGCGATCATGGAGATGCAGCCGAGGTATGTAGTTTAGTATGTATATAGTCATAAGGAAAGAATAAAAAAGAGCTACGTTGTCCTCTATACGTGTAAAATAATGATAGGTAAGAACTGGGGACTGTGGACTCCAACCGAGTATGGCTAAATGGATATACAATGCTATGGTGCGACCAATCCTCACATATGGATCCCTGGTCTGGTATGGAGGCCAGCTTTAGAGAAGACAACCAATCTTTCCAAGCTTGGAAAGATACAGAGAAGTGCGTGGTTGTGCATTACAGGAGCCTTAAGATCGACGCTCACAGATGCTCTAATAACGTGCTCCTTCATCTCCTCCTATTAGATTTTCATATTATAAATCTGGCTTCTAGTAGTATAATAAGGCTCAGAGAAACTGGTTGCTGAACGGAAAAACCCTATTTTGACAGCAGTATTATTAGAAGATTACCAAAGAATATTATTGCTGGACCATCAGATTCTTCATCAGATCTGACATCTGGCACCTAGGTTGGAACTTGGCAAGAACTTTCTAGTTAGTAACAGAATTCCAACCAGAAATGAGTGAAAGTTTAAAAAACTAGTGAAGGAATTCGATATTGCACTATTTACTGATCCAAGATGGATCAGGCGTAGGTGTGAGGGTTTTCTTGAAGGGTCTTGACATTGCAAGGTGTTATATGCTTCTGGACAGATCAAGTGTATTCCAGGCAGAGATATTTGCCATTTGGAAGGCCTGCAAATGGCTGAGCGAGGAGACATCTTATGGGCGGAAAACTGTAGTAATCACTGACAGCCAAGCAGCCATCTCGACGCTGAACTCAACTACCAAAATACCATCCTCTAAAATAGAGTTACGGATTCCCTGGGTCCACTAATTTAAACTCACGATAAAATACTAATATAACACACAATTAACTACTTATAAAATTCCTTCGCCAAATTGTCCGATTCCCAATAATTTAAAACGCGGTATATTCAAACTTCCAACTGTCCCAACTGCCGATCGCACCGTTTTACATAGCTGTGGTGAGTGTTTCTGGAACGTTCTAAAATTATCGGTAACTTTCTGCCATCTACCAGAAAATTCTGTTGTCCGATTCGCTTACTTGTCGACTTGATTAAGAGATGGCGCCTCAACAAAAAATGTATTCAGATTTCTTGTGGGTAACCAGCAATACACGTTTTATAGTTACTCGCTTCTCCGACAGATGGCGCCACATACACCTTGACAATAGTTAAAAAATCATACGACAAATTATCCTACGTAGCAAGTAAGTAAGACATACCTTGATTTGGGTTCCAGGCCACATGAACATCGAAGGGAACGAACGCGCTGATAAACTTGCAAGGCGAGGATTTTACCTAGGGCTAGACATATAGAAGAATTTTTACTCCTCTCAATACCATAAAAAATACATTTACCTCCATTTTCTGTCTGGAGGGCAGCCATATAATTAAGTCGTTTAGGGATATATCGCCAGGCCAACGGCGGTATATACAGGACACTGGCCAATAGTTGGTGAACATGCGGCCAGAGTGAGTATCCTTTTAACGAAGTTTGCGGAAGCTGCAAGGAGCCAAAGGAAGGGGAAAGGGTCCTGTATTTTCTGTATTGTTGTCCGGCTTTGCTATACAAAGCCGGATTTACGTATCCTATGATACGTAATTGTTTCCTCGGAGGTTACAGCTTCATAAATCTTGAAGATGTTGCCGGGAAGAGCATAACGAAAATCACCTGTCACCTTAAAGCCACCGAATGGTTATAAACAATTAACAATGAACCAACCTTGTAGTCATAATAACGAGAATATAATACCAAACTGAAAATAATAAAAAGTTATGTTTGTTTGCCGTTATGGGAAAATCAATCACACTCTCGTTATCGGTTTCGGGGCTTATACCCCATCATCAGACGAGCTAACCGGCCTGGATTCTTATTACGTCTTAACTACAAATGATTCAATAACAAAAACAGAATATTTAATAATTAATATGATTTGTGATCTTTTCCAGGATGGTCCATTTGTCTGGTCAAAAATGGTCCAAGGTCTATTACTCAGCTCCTATTTCTGGGGCTATTTGATAACCCAAGTTCCCGGAGGTCGAATTGCAGAACTCTTCAGCGCCAAATGGGTGATGTTCTTCTCCGTCGCCATCAATGTCGTCGGCACCCTACTCTCACCCATCATGTCCGAGATTCATTACGCTGCATTAATTGGAATACGAGTTGCCCAAGGTAATTAAATAATATTTAGCATAAATGTGTAATAGAAAATTATACAAATCAGCAAATCAGTTTAACTCAATCAATTTCGACGAATGACAACAATTTTATTTTGCAATTTACAGGAATGGGTGGAGGTGTCACTTTTCCAGGCATGCACGTACTGCTGGCTCATTGGGCACCTCCTAATGAGAGAAGCGTTATGAGCAGTATAGTGTATGCTGGTACTGCACTAGGCACTGTTGTAAGTACTTCTTTGTCATTACTAAAGACTCATTCCCACTTGTCACTTTTAATCATCTTAATGAAATCATCCAAAGTGATAATTTAACATATCAAAACTGTATGAAAACTGAATGTAGAACGAATAAGAGAGGGGGAGGGGTTAATCACCGCAACCTTAAAGATCTATTGTGTTACCTTTACTTGAGTTATACCTCATCATACAGTCTATAACTCAACATACATGGGGATATTTCTATTGTACGGAGGACAGGGTATTTCCCATCCTTCTCTGACAACAACTGTTCATCCTCCGAGGAGTGGGTATCTACCTCCTACGAGCTCAGGTACCCGTGAGCTGGAGGCTGGAAGATCTATTTCCATTTTCTCCACCTCTTTAACTTGCACTCTCCTCAGACCAGATACCTGTGTTGTCCCAAATCTACAATAGAGGATATATCCCTCTTTCTCTATTATCTCCTTGGATTTGAGGTCAATTAAACCGCAAGAGTTAGTCGGTCCACTTCTACAGAGCCCCGCTGTAAGGGAGACGAGAATACAATGGGTTGTCTCCTGGTGTCGCAAGGTTGAGACCAAAAGAGGCTATTCTTCTATCTATAGCCAGCATGCCTTTGACCTGGTCCCGCCATCACTAGATTTAGGTTGTTGGTTTGTCTCCTCTTAGACCGGGCGGTTAAGCTAATGACCGCCCACACCCGTGATACATAACCCCAGACAGTAAATGGCGCCTAGTATGACGGAAAGAGTAGTCCCATCGTTGTACGTCTTGGTGTAATTTCCTGACCACGACACTACAGCCAGGGACAAGATAATGAGATGCTCCATAGACCTAGCCAAAGTGCCACAGGGGATTCCCCGGAGCATCTGACTAGCAGCTTCCCCACCAACGACAAGGTCTCGCATCTCCTAGAGCCGCCAAGCCAATTATCACCGATCTTTTTTGGTTAGCTGGATGGTTAGATAAAAAATTGAGATATCTTGAGGACCAAGTTTTCTTTGTATACCATTCGGTTTTTATGGTTTGATTGGTATGATGTAAAGTAATATCTAAGAAGTTAATTTTTTTATCGTTCTCTATATCCAATCGGTTTAGAACGTGGCGATAACGTTGCCCGATATCTAGACTCCATTTTTTTCTATCCTCCCATTGGCCATCGTCTAAATTTCTCACATCCATGGTTTTACAAACTCCTTCGTGTCAAGTTCTTTTTGAGCGACCTCTTTTCTTCCAGTGATGTAGTATCCAATACATTGTTTTTTTTTGGTAATCTGTTGTCATCCATACCTTGATGTACAGGGTGGTCGGAATTGGTCTGTTTTAACGGAGAAAACCTATTTCCTGACTAGTTAGAACAAAACCGTCATAGATGTCATGGGTTCGATTTCTGAGACACCTTTAATAGCATAAACCGCCTGTTGATATTTTCACTGCCAACTGAGATACGGGGTCTTTTTGAATTTTTAACTATTTTGGAAATTGCCCATAACTTTTGTACTTCGCGGAATAATAAAATTCTGTAAAGACGTTCTTAAGGCACTTTTTTAAGCACAATCCAGTGGCGTAGTCAGTTTTTTTCTATGCTTGCTCTTTTTGTCAGAAATAATAAAAAATATAATTTTTTAAATGGAAATCGTAGTTGGCTATGAACTTAAAAAAATGCTGGCATTTAACCATTTCGAACGATATAAAGTTATGGATACCTATTTCTAAGAATGAGAGAAATATTAGGTTTTTCATCTTTGTATCGAAGTGTGCCTTGATTTTCTGTTGACCTAGTTGTCTAATTATTTTTTATCGCAATTTAATATTGTATATTATTATTTATCTGCGTAATTAAAGACTTTTGAAAAGGTAAACTAACATTCTATATTAGTTTTAGTAGTTACAATTGAAATCTATACAATAAACAAAGAACAAAGCTAAAAAGCGTATTTTTTGAGTAACGAATATAGTTTTCTAAAATAAATCATCTAAGATTTTCAAACTGAGCACCTCTTTGTTGAATACACAATAAACATCTTTTGCGCACAGAGTTACAGCGATTTATTAGGCGAACTGGTATAATAAGCCCAAAAGCTTGCTAGTAGCCTTCTGCAATTCTTCTTTCGTCCAATGATTCTTCTCTTATAATATAAGGTCTTTTAATTTCCCCCATAAAAAAGTCGAAAGAAGTTAAATCACAGGACCTAGCAGGCCAAGATATGGGGTCCTTTGTTCCAATCCGATTCTCTCTAAATTCTTCATTTAATGGCTTTTTAATTGTAATTGGTAAAACTAATATAGAATGTTGATCTTTCTTTTCAAAAGTCTTTAATTTTACAGAAAAATAATAATATACAATATTAAATTGCGATAAAAAATAATTAGGCAACTAGATCAACATAAAATCAAGGCCCGCTTCGATACAAAGATAAAAAACCCTAATATTTCTTCCATTCTTAGAAATAAATACCCATAACTTTATATCGTTGGAAAGGGTTACACATCAACATTTTTTTAAGTTCATAGCCAACTATGATTTCCATTTAAATAATTATATTTTTTATTATTTCGGACAAAAAGAGCAAGTATAGAAAAAAACTGACTACGCCACTGAATTGTGCTTAAACAAGTGCCTTGGGAAAGTCTTTACAGAATTTTATTATTCCGCAAAATAAAAAAATTATGGGCAATTTTCAAAATGGTAAAAAATTCAAAAAGACCCCTATCTCAGTTGGCAGTGAGAATATCAACAGGCGGTTTATGACATTAAACGAGTCTCAGAAATCGAGCCCATGACATCTACATCGGTTTTGCTCTATCTAGTCAGGAAATAGGTTTTCTCTGTTAAAACAGACCAATTTCGACCACCCTGTACATGGCCGTACCAGACAAGTTGCCTTTTTTCGATGTCAGTCATAATCGTGTCGTGAATTCCCATTTGTTCCCGGATATTTTCATTTCTCACTCTCTGGGTTCTGGATACTCTAATCGATCCTCTGAGTGCATCCATTTCGGTTGCTTCTATTATTCTTTTATGTTGTTCTATCATTCTCCAAAAGTAACGCTTACTCAGCATATAAAAGACCATACCATCACGTGGTATACTGATGCTTCCAAAACTAAAGCAGGGACAGGGATAGGAGTATTTGGGCCGAAAACTGAATACTCCGAACCAATGGGCACCTACCCCAGTCTCCTTCAGGCAGAAATTTGCGCTATCGAAAGATGCGTACAATTTATCTTAGATAGGAACTATCGAAAACAGGAAATTGCCATTCTATCCGATAGTCAAGCAGCACTTAACGCGATCAACTCAGTAACCATCAATTCGAAGTTGGTCAAAGAATGCCTAGAGAAGCTCAACAAGTTAGGCAAAGAAAATAAAGTCCTCCTACTCTGGGTGCCTGCTCACCAAGGGATGGAAGACAATGAAAAGCAAATGATCTAGCTAGAAAAGGAGCGAACACTCCACTAACTGGACCAGAACCGTTCTGTTTTCCAAACGGGAACCAACTGAAAGCGGAACTGAAGAATCTGGAAGACTCCATCCGTAACTTGGAATGGGTGTCCTCCAACGGTCTAAGACACTCGAAAAGTTCCTTAGAACTTATGACCGAGAAAAATCAAAGGTTTTCCTTGATTTAAGTAAAAACAATCTTCGGATTGTCACGGGGTTTCTAACAGGACACTGTCTCCTCAACGAACAACTCAGTAAGCTGAAACTGAGAAACAACGGCGAATGCAGATTTTGTGGGGAAAATGGGGAAACACCAGAACACCTTATCACTGAGTGCGCCGAGACGACGACCATTCGTGCCATGAACCTTGGTACGTCTGATGTCGAGGATGGAGAGCTGGCCTCTGTGGAGCCGTCTCAGATACTGGCTTTTCTTAAAGCCCTGAGACTGTATGATGAGTTATAACTCGTTATAACTCAAGAAAGGGGAACACACAATAGATCTATAAGGTCGCGGTGATTAACTCCCCTCCTAAACATTCTACATTCTACATTCATTCTCCAAGTTTCTGAACCGTATACCAAATTACTTTTAATTAGAGTGTTATGATATATTGTATTTCCTACGTTTCCTAATACTTTTGCTTCAGAGGATTCCTGTATCACGCCTGTATCACTCTCTTTCTTCTGAACCCGTTTTGTTAAATGTAGCCCCTAAATATTTATATTCTTCACAGGCTTCTATTTCTTCTGAATTTTCCAGTTGTAGGTTACAATTTTCCATATTTATTGTTAGTCCTCAGTCTACATCGGTTTCTATTAGTTTGCAGACCATATATCCTAGGTCTTATTTATCCTCTGCTAGTGCTGCCTGATCGTCTGCAGACTGTAGGCTAAATACCGTTCTATCTGTTAAAGGTATGCCCCCCATCCCCGAACATTTATTTATTTTTCCCCGAATTATTTTGACTTCACAATTACCAGTCGAATTTCTAATTTTTGTATTTACTTTTAGTAGGTTTAAATTTAAAGTTGTTTTAAACTTTTTATTATAAATAAATTAAACCATTCGTCATTATTCATTACAACCTGTGTTCTCGGACGAGACATCGTACCACCAAAATGGAACTTCACACCAATGTCTTTGTCCATCTTTGTCCGTGGCGTAAAGCTATCACTGCAGCGGGATATGAAATAGCAAACTGGATGAAAATATGCAAACCAGAATGATTATATTGGGTGATTTTACTCTAAGTGATTAATTTTGGTTTGAATTTCAAAGATGATAGGCGTGTTTTCTTTTTACACCACTTGACCGTCTTTTTTGTCTATCCCCTATAGAAAGCGGATAGACAGAAAAAAAAATTAAAGAAACTAAGTTTATTTTAGAGTTTTATGCTGGCAGCTGGCCTGATAGCGAATTATTTGGATTGGAAATATGTTTTTTACATCGAAGGTTCGGTCAGCGCCATTTGGTTATTTCTCTGGATGTGCATGATAGCCGATACCCCCGCATCTCAAAAATTGATCAGTCCCGAAGAAAGAGAATATATTATGACGTCACTCGATCAAAAACAAGCCAGCCAATCTACCAAGAGTCAGGTAAATACTAAAATTTCGATTTATAACAATACAATTCTTCTTCAAATGTCATGTTCCTAGTGAACGTTGACGACTACCATGCTAACAATATCTCTGTATCGCTCTCGATCTTGCGCTACATGGAGTAATTCATCCGCGCTCAAGCTCGTCCATTGCCGCAAGTTCCTCAACCACAAAAGCCTCTTGCGCCCAATCCACTTCTTTCTTTCGATTTTTCCGTCAAGGATCAGTCGGAGAAACTCATATCGAGGTCCTCTGGTTATATGATCTAGGCATTTTCAGGCATTCAGAAGTAGTCTGTCGTGCTCCATTCTTCGAAGAACTTCTTCATTTATGGTTCTGGTGGTCCAAGATATTTTAAACATTCTTCTGTATGTCCATTTCAAATGCTTCGATTTTATTTATCGTTTATTCTTTATTAAGTGTCCACGTCAAACATCCATACACAAAAATCGACCACAGATAACATTTTGTAAACTTCTCCTTATTTTGATGTTCAGTGCTTGTTCTACGCGACATCTGATTTCGTATGAAGGATAGATATTGGCTAATCCAACAGCCTAGGTATTTAAACTTCGCCACTCTCTCCAACGTTTCTTCATTCGATCGCCGACATCTACTTTACTCACAACCACAAAATAGAAATCAACCAGAACGCCGACTCTGCCGAATTTGATGACGTTTCACGAATCGCGACGCCATATTAGCAGCGGGTAACTCTCAGGGCCGGATTAAAACGCTTTCGCAGGCTGTTGTCAGAGTTATATTGAATAAGTATTTTTATTATCTGATATGTGATTACAGACTGAGCGTAATACGTTATTTCGAAAGGTAAAGTTTGTATAGATAACTCAATGGACTCGACGCTACGAACAGGTGCTGTCTTCTGCGATAGTCAGAATTCAACTAAATCCTGACCTGCCCTGACTAAACCGATAACACCGCTACATTGACAGGTGTTACCCGCTCATAATGGAATTTTTAGGTTAACCACCGTTTCGCGCGCAGTTTGGGAGTCAACCTTCTGGTTGATTTCTATTTTGTGCTCACAACCATATATTTAGTTTTATTTATATTAATAGAGCCCCTAATTCATACAAGCTTCATTGACTCTGTTTACTATTTCTTGTAGATCTACGAGATTTTCTGCTACAATTACGGTATCGTCGGAATATCTGATATTATCTATTATTTCTCCTCCCATAACAATTCCTTTTTTACCACTTAGGGATTCTCTAGATGTGTTTTCTGAAAAAAAGTTGAATAATAAACGTTTCATATTAATAGGTCTAGATTCTCTGTTATTCACGGTAATAGTAGCTGTTTGGTTCCAATACAAATGCGAAATCAGCCTAATATCTTTCATGTCATCTAGCTGGATGCTCTGCAGACTTCATATTAGCTTAGTGTGCTGGACACGAAAAGTAAGCCTTTTCAAAATCAATAAAGCGTAGGTATACAGGTCTTTTTACTTCCAAACACCTCTGCAGAAGCGTTTCCATTGTAAATAGTGCTTCTTGGTTCCCATGCATCGTCTGAAACCTAATTGCTCTGAACTCAGAGCTTCCTCGCACTTGTTGCTAATTCTAACCAATACAATTAGGGATTGCAAATTTACCGCCTTTTAAATTTACTGGTAAAGGGTAATTTAAAACATGGAATTACCGGCTTACCGGTATTTACCGTTTTTTCCTTATCAGAACCAGCGGAAAAAAATTAAAATATAAAAACAACTTTTATCAAATTAAAGCAGCACTTTCAAATATTTCCTCTATTTCCTTCGTGCTGAAGATATTGCATTTCTGTTTCAAAGGTTTGGGCAACAACCACAGGTATTATTTATTTTACAGTTGGTTAAGCTTGGTTGGTTTTTGTTTTACATGCACTCTTGTGTTGCCTTTCCTACTAAAAAAAGAGAGAACTTATGAATATGTCGATAAGAAAAATCTCTGCCGAAAATTGGACAAATGCCATAAACCACGTCACATACAGTCATAAAACAGACACATACACGGTGTCCCAGTTCAAATGAAACAAGGCAATTTAAATGCATTTCTGGTGTGAAAAGGACAAAACGGTGAAACACGTCAACTTTATTTTCGATATATAAGATGCGACTATTTTTGAAGTCCCTAATTCAAACCCCACGCGGGGGTGACATCCACCCTTAAAATCTTAAATATAATGCGGGGACGGGTAGCACATCATTTGAAAGGTTATTAAAGCCTCTTCATTTTTGGAGTTTTTGTCACATTTGGTGGAATCGGACTGAAAAATAAACTTTTCATAAATTGATGATGCTTTGATATTTGATTGAGAATCGAAATAGGGTTTAAAATAAGAAATTTACATTAAATGAACAAGATTTTGCATAATGAATAAAACACAAAAAGCAGTGCCCTGCTTTGAAACAATTGTGGCGATTTACTGTTCCGTATATGAAAAATGTACATTCATCCAAAAAGTATTCACGTTGAAAAGAAGACGTGTATTAGCCGATTAGAAACAAAAATGCAAACAAGTTTTTGGTAGGTAAAAAATTGTTTTTATTAATATCTTATCTTCTTTTGAGGCAGTACTGCTAAATCTTTTTCATCTTGTCATTCAGTTTGGAAGTATTCTTAATATTTTGTACGGCTACTGTTCTTGTGCTGGAATTAGTAGCTAAATTTAGAGGAACTGGAAGTGTTCGTACAAAGAAGCGAGAAGTTCCACCTAGTGCGGTTAACAATGAGGCGATGCAAATAGTAGTTCTGGGACAAATCCATGCCGAACCAAGAATGGGTGTTAGACAATTGGCAACAGCCACAGGAATAAGTAAGAGTATATAGTGTTCACAGGATACTAAACTTCCACAAACTTCATCTGGTCCAAAAACTGAACGAAGATAATTTCGATAGACGATTAGAATGCTGTGAAGAACTAAGTGAAATGCTCATTGCTACGTCACGTCTTCTTTTCAACATGTACTTTCCAGATGAATGTACATTTTTCCTCAATGGAAAAGTAAATCGCCACAATTGTCGCTACTGGCCGGATACCAATCCTAGAGATAGATTTTCAGCCCGATTCCACCAAAATGTGACCACCAAAAACTCCAAAAATGAGACGGCGCTGAAAAGAGGCTTTGATAACCTTTCAAATGATGTGCTACTCGAGACCCCGCATTACATTAAAGATTTTAAGGATGGATATGTCACCAACGCTGGGGGTTTGAATTAGGGGCTTCAAAAATAGTCGCATTTATTTCTTCGAAAATAAATAATGTTGACGTGTTTCACCGTTTTGTCCTTTTCACACCAGAAATGCCTTTAAATTGTCTTGTTTCTTTTGAACTGGGACACCCTGATAGAGTCATAAAAGAGGAGTAAAAAATGTGGGATCTTGACAATCTCTTGGAAAAGACAGTAGAGTCTCTGCAAATTTCAGTTAGAAATTCTGACGACTCTGACTTCAGTGAGGATGATTTATAATTACCTACATATGTTATGTATTTTAATTATTGTAATACTTAACATTAATTGAAATGTTTTCCTAAACGTGTGACATTGTTTTTTGTAGTTATGTTATTTATGGTTTGTAACCTGTTACCTTCATTTTACAATAAAAACTTTAGATTCCTTCACTAATATGTACGATAATTGCGTGTACTCGTATAATCCAATATTACTAAAAATGCCATTAATAGGTAAATAAATATTTGTATATCATATTAGTTTATGTTGTGTAACAAAATATATTTTAACAAAACTTTAAATAAATATTAAAACCCTAATACCCGACACTGGTGCTGTCAGGACTTCATAATATCTTTATTGCCCTATTGTTCTCTGCAAACGTACCGGATGTGTCCATCTACAAACGTGTTAAAGCTGTCAATTTCATTGAAACATATACCCTTAAAATGAAATTGGTCCCATCTTTTAGCAGGACACACTGTATAAAACAAAACGTCTTTTGCCTTTATGTCGAACGTTTTGTGCTACCGAATTTACCAGTATTTGCTATAATACCGGATATTTGCTGATTAACCTTACATTATACAGGGTGTCCCAGAAATAAGTGCAAATATTTTAACTGGTAGTATAGTTCAACCCCAGAAATACGCCTATGAGGTTTTTTTTGCGAAAAAAAAATGTTGAAAATTTAAAATTTTTCTTGACATTTTCCGGGAAATTTGAAAAAACTTTTTAGTGCCACTTGTTTATTCACCTGAGATTTCCCTACGATGTATCTAAACCTTGCAGTGTTGCAACCTCCTATGTTATCCACGTTCTACATAGTTCGGCGGAACATAGTTCTACATTTATAAATTCATAGACAAATTTCTACTCAAAAAATTAGAATGTTAAATTTAATCTTTTATCAGTGCTCATTATTAATAATTATAGAAAAAAAACACATTAATTATTTTTAGTACTTACCCTTTCAATGAAAACTTAACAAAAACCACCGAAAATTAACTAAAACGTTACGTTTATGACGTTTACGAAAATCTTTGTTATGCTGCAAAATAACTTTATTTTGGAATAAATTTAATATAAAATGATTCATATTATTCACAATCAGGTCAAAAAAAGAAATTCCTAAAATGTTTATCGTAATTTAGAATACAATTCAAGAAATTTAGAAAACAGCCCAACGAATAATTGATTCATTTTTGTTTTGTTTGTTTTCTTTCATGTTTCTCTATTTTATTTGAACCACTGTTTTACAAAACACCTTGAAAAGCGTACATTACTTTGAATACCTTTCTGAATGAATAAATGTTGAGAATTATTGTCTCTTATCGCCACTTTACGAACTACTTTCAATCTAAGAAAATACATGTTTCACTCAACAATTATTGACAACGTATTTTGTTTTTTCGCTATTTTTTCGATGTATTTCGACAATTCCATCAACAGCCTAACCGGTTGTTCTTCTCTGGCCTAACCGTCAGCCAAGAACCGCCGCGTGTGAACTGGTCCTTTGAGTCGCCGGTCGCCGCGCCGTCGTGGCGGGCTTGCGTCGACGACGATGTTAAGCAACGTTGCCCTAGTTACAACAATTTCAAATTCAAGACATTCGAAGCAATCAAATTCGTATTAAATTTTAAAAATAAAAGAGAGAAACATGAAAGGAAATAAACAAAACAAAAGTGAATTGGTTATTCGTCGGGCTATTTTCGATGTATTGAATTCTGAATTACGATAAACATTTTAGAAATTTCTTTTTTGTGACCTTATCAATAACCAATTCATTTGTGTTTTGTTTGTTTCCTTTCATGTTTTTCTGTTTTATTTTTAAAATTTAATAAGAATTTGATTGCTTCGAGTGTCTTGAATTTGAAATTGTTGAAACTACGGCAACCTCGCATGACGCAAGCTCGACAAAGGAGCAGTTACCAGTGATGCGCCGCTCTCTTGGTCGGCGGCCGACGCGACGATTGGGTTGTCGATGGAATTGTTGAAATACATAGAAAAAATAGCGAAAAAACAAAATACGTATTTAAAATTGTTGAGTGAAACATGTATTTTCTTAGATTGAAAGTAGTTCGGAAAGTGGCGGTAAGATCTTGATAATAGATTGAAAGTAGTTCGGAAAGTGGAGATAATTCTCAACATTTATTCATTCAGAAAGGTATTCAAAGTAATGTGTGCCTTTCAAGGTGTTTTGTAAATCAGTGATTCAAAATAATGTGTTAAAAATGGGGACTGTTATTTTAGTAGTTATTATAATAACTACAGCATGTACAAGTAAAGCAGCACAATGAAGTGTATTTTAGTTAAGTGTATATCGAAAAAGAGACCTGTCACAGTTACATCGATCTGTCATAAGTATCTTTTTTAATGTTGGGTAAGTTTTTTTAATTTAACTTTTTTAACACATTTTTTAATACATTATTAAACATTTAACTTTTAATTTATTTTATGTAATAATATCACAATCTTAAAAATGTAATGCATCTCTGCAAACTCCTCAGGTGTTGTGATTTTATGACTTACTTTTAACATATACTTTCTTGTCCCTATGGCAACACAGTGCGTCGAATTAACTGAAATCCGGGTTTGATCCGGATAATTGGATGTAGTTGGCGATATCTGCCGGTGGTTCTCAAAATGTTGCGATTATTTTTTTAAATTTTCAAAGTTAAATAACTCGGTTATTTTCAATTTATTTTAAAAATGGTAAAGAGAAAATATGTTTATTTTGAACAGATCTACCACCCCTTAAAATATCTGCACTCATTTCTGGGACACCCTGTATATATAAAGATATTTAATCAAATAGGTAACGCGATCGCTAAATTCAAAACGATTGAAAAAACGATGATAAGTACCATTTTAGAAGAAGATAGATATTTTTTAATGTTTTTACAATAATTGCACTATTTTTCTATTTCTTTTTTAATCTTTTTTCTAGGAAACCCCGAAACTTCCTTGGAAATCAGCTCTCACCTCGCCTGCTTTCCTAGCCATTCTAATCGCTCACACCTGCAGCAATTGGGGCTGGTACATGGTACTTATCGAGCTGCCCCTGTACATGAAGGGCGTGCTCAAGTTCAAAATATCGGAAAATGCCATTTTGACGTCCCTACCCTTCTTTACCATGTGGCTGTTCTCGATAATATTGAGTAAAACCCTAGACACACTACGAGAAAAAAAAGTGAGTTAATTTTATTATTTTTTACTCTAAATTGGGGGAACAATTCATAGATTTAGCATCACTGCACTTCGCGCCGTTTTCTTACGCATTGACCTTCCAGTCATTGTGGTCTGCAGAGTACCCAGGAAAACCCTGGTACCGAAAGTACCGTGACTCGAAATTATGAATTCCCGGTTCTTTCGGGACTCGGTACCAATATTTAAAAAAAAACATTTGACTGATAATTTTTGGCGGTTCAATCAAACTCTTCTAAATACGTATACCGGGTGCATCTCAAAAATGGCTGACTCCTATAACTTTTTTATTTCTTCAGATAAAAAACGAGATTTGGTATGTTAGTATATCATAAATTATGAATGACTGACGTATTTAATTGTTTTCAGTTACTTCCTGTTTCACCGGAAACGACTACAACTTTTGATTTTTAAATGGCACCCTCGGTATTATTTTACTTTATTCGATAGAAAATGATATTCTGAATAGAACGGCATACCGTATGTCAACTTTTGATTAGGGCATCCAACACCGGGAGGCAAGCAGGGACGTATCACCAGCTTTGCCGCTATTGCTGGACAAGTGAAAATGGCGGTGCTGCCAAAGGATTTCCCAGAGGTTACTCTGACCACCGACCAGCAAACATCTCTAGAAGAGGCTATACTGGACGAAGTAGTGGCGATCGGATCGCACCCAAGTAGCATTTTCACGACTTGCGACCACATGTTTACTAAACACAACGTTGGATTAGTTACAAAAAATAGTTAGCTCCCTACCTTGGGTATTAAAATAAATTTAAACGTTTTTATAACGTTGTACCGACGTTGGACTAGTACTACAGCAAAGTAGAAGCTTCTGCGACGTCGAATAAACGTTGTCTTGTAACCTTTTTTGCTTAAGTGATCTTTAGGTGATTCGGACAAAGTAGTTACAACGTTGGACAATATAGAGTTTTCCGACGTCAGTTTCAGGACCTATTCCAACGTTATGCAAACGTCGTCTATTTTACTAATTCCAACGTTGTTTAGATTTCCTTATTCTTACGTTGGTAGGACGTCGAGTCACTACCTTTTGCAACTGTATTGAACCATAACCTTAAATCTTAAATTTTCACTTCATTGTTCTGTTCAGTCAGACAGTTCAGTGCTGCTTTTATTTTTATAAAAAAAACTTAATTAAAACGGGACATAATAAAGGTACATATAAAACTAAATTTAAATATACATCGACATATATTACCGATAGTTTATCCACTCCCTCGTTTATTTAGATTATAGAGGGCGGCACAAGCTAGACTCTAGGATGACTAAATTAGGCAATCTTGCGACTAGTATACTACCTGTTAAGGCCGAACTGCGACTTTATTAGTCCAGTATGCGACTACTCGAACTACTCCATCTTAATCTCCAAAACAACAAAGTGAAAGCCGCCATGTTGTTAAATAAGTAAATGTTTCGTTCCTAAAATAGCAATTCCTACTTTTTGAATACATTGAAATATTTGACTCTAAAAAACACGCGGAAACAATTTTTTCGACTGCGAATAAATTATTCGCATTTTACTAAAAAAAAATTCAAGAAAATTATTAGAACTTCTTTAATTTTAAGGCCCATTAGTATTTTTCAAAGTAGAAACAATACATTTATCAATAAAGTTGTTTGCGTTTAACTTTTTTGCCTTGGGTAACGAGTTACAGAGTCGGTTAAAGTGTTTCAATAATTATGATCTTCAAACATCCTCCACACTTAAATACTTTTGTTTTGTTTTCCTTCACTGCCATCTGACATATGTCTCTAACTAAATCATAAAAATAATATTTTTACTATAATTATCCCAATTTAGGATAAAACGCGACTTAGACGCCATATTAGTTTTGTATTTCTGTGAATTAGGATTTTAAACAACGTTGCAGTTTGTACTAAATTAGGCTTCTAGCCAACACCGGGAGGCAAGCAGGGACGTATCACCAGCTTTGCCGCTATTGCTGGACAAGTGAAAATGGCGGTGCTGCCAAAGGATTTCCCAGAGGTTGCTCTGACCACCGACCAGCAAACGTCTCTAGAAGAGGCTATACTGGACGAAGTAGTGGCGATCGGATCGCAACACAGCTATCTACAAAATGTGGGTCAGCTGCGTTTTGCGGGGATACAGTTTCGGGTGGGCATGATCCTCATAGATTGTGTATCTCAAGAATCGGCGAATTGGTTGGTGGAAATCGCACTTAACCTTAAAAATTGGCAGGGGCAGGAACTGGTTGCAGTGAAGGGAGAAAACATACCTAAATGGGGGGCCATCACGGTCTTTCTGCCGAGGAGCAAGGGGACAGACACAACCTACCTGCTGAGCCTTATTCAGGGTCAGAACTTCAATGTAAGGACATCGAGTTGGCGAGTCATCAACTCGAGGGAGGAGTCATCAACTCAAATCCAAGGAGGTAATAGAAAAAGACGGACATATCCTCTATTATAGATACGGGACAACACCGGTATCAGGTCTAAGGAGAGACCAAGTTAAAGAGGTGGAGAAAATGGAGACAGATCCTCCAGTCTCCACCTCACGGGTTCCTCAGTCGGACGCAAGCTCCTCGACTGTGAAGGGCGGCACGGAGGGCCAAACTCCAACAGTGGAAGGGTGTGTACCCTCGGAGGAAGAACTGTTGCCAGAGGAGGATGGGAAATACCCTGTCCCCTCTACAACAGGGGTATGATGGGTTATAGACTGTGTGATGACTCAAGGAAGGGGGGCACACAATAGATCTTTAAGGTCGCAGTGATTAACGGCATCTTACTCATTCTACATTCTACTTCTGAAGTTCTTTTGAAGTTCCTATACCTAATGTTTATTATCAATTATTGAAGTTTAAATATGTTATATATTATTTAGTATACTGTTGCTAAATGTATTAGTTTTATTTTTTATGTTATGGTTTTTATAATAATCTGTTACAACTTTAGCGTAAAATTATACTTGAATCACACTAAAAAGATTGTAGTTTGTAAAAATACGTAGATATAGTAACTATGCGTTTTATTTTCAGAAAATTTCAACAACAGCGGCTAGGAAGATAGCCACTGGATTCGCCTCCATCGTTCCACTGGCATGTTTCCTTGTTTTGTGCTACGTAGAGCACAGGACATTGGCCGTTGTCCTGATGACAGTCGCTACCACCGCGATTGGTGGGATTTTCTGTGGATTTTTATCGAACCACATCGATATCGCACCGAACTTTGCAGGAACACTTGTGGCACTGACCAATAGCGCGGCCACTATTCCTGGCATTATGGTCCCTATAGTCGTTGGCAAATTGACAAAAGATGATGTAAGTATAGCTTTAAAAAAAGTAAAATATTTTAAGTCTGCGAATTTTATCATGTTGAGAGGTACACACTTCTGGTTTACGAGATCCGTTTACGTGCGCATTAATAGGACAACGCATATTTTTTATGCTACTTACCATTACCTTTTTCAGGATTCTATTAGATCCTGGAGGATAATATTTTGGGTGACGATAGTTTTATACGTCATCGAAATACTAGTTTATATGGCGTTTGGATCTGGAGAAGAACAAAAATGGAATAAAGCAGATCAAAGTGAAGGGGAAGGAAATCCCAGACGTTAAAGTTATATAGTTGATATGGTGGCAAATAAAATTAATTAAATATGAAATGATGTTTTTTTTAATTTTACCTATTTTCACTTAGTTTGTCTTCTTTATAAAATTTTAAAAATTCTTTTGTACTATTCGTAACTCGATCCGTATTGACACTACTGATCCAATACTATTTTAGCACTTTAGAGCAAGACCATAGAGTACTAATCTCCCAAAAATAATCAAGAAAAAACTGATTAGAAAATACCACACTACTTGAGCACCTTAGAACAAGATTATAGAGTATTGATCTCTCAAAAATAATGAAGAAAGAAAGTGATTAGAACAGTTCAGACTATTTGAGCACCTTAGGATACAATCATAGAGTATTGATCTCCCAAAAATAGTAAAAGAATGATTAGAACAGTCTACACTATTTGAGCACCTTAGAACACAATCACAGAGTATGATCTCCCAAAAATAGTAAATGAAAAAAAATATTACAACAACACACTATTTGATCACATTGAAACAAAATCATAGAGCATTATTTTCAATCATAGAGGTTGTTTTCACAAAAATGACCAAGAGAAAAAATTGATTAGAACAGTCCACGCTATTTGAGCTTATTAGAACACAATCATAGAGTATTCATCTCCCAAAAATAGTCAAAAAAAAGATTAGAACAGTATACAATATTTGAGCACCCTAGAACACAATCATAGAGTATTGAGCTCCCAAAAATAATCAAGAAAAAAATTGATTAACTACAAATTATAAATTGAACAGTCTACACACATTGAGCACGTTAGAACAAGATGATAAACTAATGATCTCCCAAAAATAATCAAAGAAAAAGTCGGTTAGAACAGTCCACACAATTTAAGCACAACAGTCTATGCTATTTGAGCACCTTAGAACACAATCACAGAGTATGATCTCCCGAAAATAGTAAAAGAATAAAAATATTACAACAACACACTATTTGATCACATTCAAACAAAATCATAGAGCATTATTTTCAATCATAGAGGTTGTTTTCGCAAAAATGACTAAGAGAATAAATTGATTAGAACAGTCCACACTATTTGAGCACCTTAGAACACAATCACAGAGTATCCATCTCCCAAAAATAGTCAAAAAAATGATTAGAACAGTCTACAATATTTGAGCACCTTAGAACACAATCATAGGGTAGTATATAGCTCCCAAAAATAATCAAGAAAAAAACTGATTAGAACAGTCTACACAATTTGAGCACGTTAGAACAAGATCATAAACTAATGATCTCCCAAAAATAATAAAAGAAAAAGTCGGTTAGAACAGTCCACACTATTTAAGCACAACAGTCTACACTATTTGAGCACCTTAGAACACAATCATAGAGTATTCATCTCCCAAAAATAGTCAAAAAAAAATTATTAGAACAGTCTAAAATATTTGAGCACCTTAGAACACAATCATAGGGTATTGAGCTTCCAAAAATAATAATGAAAAAAATTGATTAGAACAATCTACACAATTTGAGCATCTTAGGATACAATCATAAAGTATTGATCTCCCAAAAATAGTAAAAGAATGATTAGAACAGTCTACATAATTTGAGGACTTTAGAACAAGATCATAAACTAATGATCTCCCAAAAATAATCAAAGAAAAAGTCGGTTAGAACAGTCCACACTATTTAAGCACAACAGTCTACACACACTATTTGAGCACCTTAGAACACAATCATAGAGTATTCATCTCCCAAAAATAGCCAAAAAAATGATTAGAACAGTCTACAATATTTGAGCACCTTAGAACACAATCATAGGGTATTGAGCTCCCAAAAATAATCAAGAAAACAATTGATTAGAACAGTCTACACAATCTGAGCATGTTAGAACAAGATCATAAACTAATGATCTCCCAAAAATAATCAAAGAAAAAGTCGGTTAGAACAGTCCACACTATTTAAGCACAACAGTCTACACTATTTGAGCACCTTAGAACACAATCATAGAGTATTGATCTCCATGAGTGCCATGAAAATTACCATGCAGTTCAGACAAACGTGTGTGTTTGAAACTCCATGTAAATAACTACATGAACTTGAAGAAACTTTATTTAGAAATCACAGATACTTCACAATTTTATTTATATGCATAAAAAGGTGCATAAATTAACAAACTATGTTCTCTTAGAGTTGCCATTATTATAATGTTTAATTTGGTTTGGTTAAATTAATTACTTAATTTTTATTAATTTGCCTCTTTTCGTTTTTCTGTTTTCATCTTTCCTCATTCTAGTAACCCTCAATGGTGTAAATAGATCATTTGCATAACTAAACGGTATAAACACTTCTGAGTTGGTCTTTTCCTTTTTAGAAGTTTTTGTTTCAGGCACAAACACTCTCTTAGTTTTATCAGTTCGAGTTAAATACACTGACTTATTTTCATCTTCAGTATCTTCTATTATCATAACTGAATCATCTTGCTCTGCTATCATAACTGTATTATCTTGCTCTGGTTGCACTATCATAACTGAGTCGTCTTGCTCTAATTGTGAATTGCTTTCATCAACAAACATCACCGAATCATTTTGCGCTCTAGAATAATAAGGGTGCCTTTTATCGACAGGATACATAGTTGCCATTTCTTCAATTAAAGTTTGCACTAATGAATACTTTGGATGGTGATCTCTAAAGCCAAGAACCATACTTGATATGCCACATTTTGCTTTTAAAAGTGTTCTTAAATAGGGCATAACTAAAGTAGGTATTTTATTCATTATGGCTTGGTTTATTACATGTTTTACCAATATCCTTGGCTCTACCTCAGCAGTGATAAGTATATGACTTACACTACTATTCTCTAAAGCTTTGGAGACATCATTTACACCTAGTATTAAACCGTCCCTAAAATATCTTTCTATTTAGTAGTGTTGTCAGAGAATAGTACAGTAATAAATGTAAAATATAATATGTTATGTATTAATACCTGTTTTCACACTGTACATCGGACTTTTCCCTCTCAGCTATTTGTTTCTGCAAGCATTCTTGTCGAAATTTTTTTCGTTCATTTCTTGGAACATGTTTCATTTCCTTCCAAGAAATTTTTACTTTTTCGGGAACTAGTCTTGGTAAGTCCTCTTCCAAAACAGCTTTTAAAGAATTGTAATGATCTTCACAAATACATGGCCTATAAAAATAAAGTACATATGAACTGAGAGGCTAAAGAAATATAATATTCTTAACTTACCAATGGGATTTTTTAAATGGTGTTGCTAGAACATTTTTTATACATGTTTTAGTCTTAGTTTTCTTAGCAGAGAGTGATTGGTTTTGTTGCTTTTTTGATAATACAGGAGCTTCAGTCATAGCTGTAAATTACCTTTGTAAATTAAAATTAACAAAGCCTAATAAATATAAATTATAATCTTTGTTTACAAAAAACTAACCTCAAAAATGTAAAATATCAAGTCAAAGTCAAAAACACCTTTATCTATGGTCAATAAGCTCAAACCTGTCAGTGTCAAATAGTTATTCTGTGGTGTCAAAATGATGCCAAACATCTGTAATCTGTCAAAACATTTTGAATTTTTATTTACCCAACTCATTTACCTGCAGCCGGTAAGTTATAAACAAAGTTATAAACAAGTTTCTTATTAAAAATGTAAGTATATTATCAATTTGCTTTTAGGTATTTACGTACTGGAAGTTGTTTAATTAACGAGTATTTTCAGATTTCCAAACAACCACCAGATTTCCACTAAACCCTTTAACTTATTTTTCAAGAGTTGTATACCAACCAATCACTCGTATTATGGCTGATGAATTGGATGTTGTAAGATAATCTAAACCTTAATACACCTAAAATCAAATCTATATTTTATAAAACACAAATTTTAGATTCCATCTATAACAGTTAAGGAACCACTTGATTTAGTAAGGTTAAGTCTCGATGAAAAGATTTATGTGAAAATGAGAAATGACAGAGAAATAAGAGGACGTCTCCACGTAATATATTTAATTTCCAAGCTTATAAAGCCTATTTAAAGTATATGTTTTAGGCATATGATCAGCATATGAATATGATACTAAGCGATGCAGAGGAAACTATTACCACTGTTGAAATTGATGAAGAAACTTACGAAGAAGTTTATAAAACTACCAAAAGAAATATCCCAATGCTATTTGTGCGCGGAGATGGAGTAATTTTAGTTTCACCTCCTATGAGAACTTCATAAAATTAAAATAGTTAGAAGTACTGTTTAAATAATTAGGGAAACATTTATTTATGAACCAATGATAAATAAGTGAATTTAATAATTTGTATTTTAAGAAATAAATCTTCTGAAAACAAAAAGACGAGATTTCATTTAGCATTTGTCCGTGGTATTTGTAGTAAATATTGATTTCTAAATAAGTGTATTACAGAAGAGAGGATAGAGTAAAATTCAAAAATCCCGCTAGAATTTAGTTTTATTTGTCACCGTTACGTTGTCCATCTGATGGCGCTGCAGGCTGCAACAAAAAATTTCTTGGAGCCGTTTTTATCGCTCAAAATAAACCCGAAATACCCGCAAAATTAAAAAAAAAGTAACGATTTACAGCCCGTGTTCAGAATGTAAGTATGGGCATCGTTAAAAATGTCAAAGAACGCGATCGGAACCGTAAAAGTAAGATTGTGTTGTGCCCCTCTCCTGAAAGACAACTTGGACAGGATTTTAGTGTTGTTTGCAGCAATTTTGAAAGAAAAAACACGATGTAGTGATCAAACGGTACTGTACGATGTGTTCTTTTCCGGCCCGGAAGGGGTGCCCAGATCTGTGAGTGGAGATTTCATACCCAGGCTTCAGGTGAGTTAAAATAAAACAAAGTATGCAGAGAGATGGTTTTACCCAGTTAGAAACTGGGCCAAGCGGATAAATTTAAAATGAATTGGAGACGGATTTGACCCCAAGGGAAACGAGGACACCGATACTTTTACTTTTGTTCTTCTATCAGCAGGAACCTTTAGCCAAAAAACTGATTCGCTTAACATGTAACAAAGTCGACTTCACACATCAAACAGCATTTGTTGAAATTGATTGGGACTAAGAAATATATTTTAATATATAGATATATTGACTCTTTTGTTTTAATTGTAATATTTTATAAAATACAGAATGTATTTCTTAAAGTATTATATAGTATACAACTATCGTCAAAGTTTACAGAATAGTTCTGTAACTGTAAACTTTGCTATCGAGATGCCTTCTTTTACTCTTGTCTCGTGTATAGGTAAGTAGGTAGATTTATTAAAAAAAAATTATGAACTGTTTATAGTATGGACTTATTGTTTAGTAAAAAAAATCACAATTTTAAAATAGTAGCTATAAACATTAGGTACCTACTTTGTCAGTAGCATTTTGATTTTTGAAATGTAGTCAGCTCTGTCAAATTATATTTAACTCTTCTAGTGAGAATAATATAATATAATATAATTATTCTAGTAGCGCATATTCTTTATTAACATTTGACCATTCGTTTGTAAGAGTGTACAGGGTGGCTCGAATTCGACGTTCATCATTGGGATTTCGGAAACCGTCAGAGATACAGGTAAAAATGGAGGCAAAGTTGCGCAATTTGATGCACAATAAAATGCCATATTGCATTTTTATTTTTTATTATTTTTTTGCATAAAATATTCTGGTGATGGAATTTTCTGTACGAAACGTCGGCAAAGTGACTATATATAGTGTTTTAAGAGAGATGAAAGGATTTAATTAAATTGAAAAAAAATCAGGTCCGTATTTAAAAAAATTAAGTTGATCATGGTCGCCAGAAGCCGAAACGTGGCCACAAAAATGTATTTTTCATTTTAAGTTATCTTAACAAATAAAGCCAGGAAACAATAGAAAACAAAATTGAAAATTCCGTTTCTTTTTTAATATATTCGGAAGTATTCGGAATTTTTCAAAATGCAATACGGCATTTCATTGAGCATCAAATTGCGCAACTTTGCCTCCATTTAACCGATCCTATATCTCTTATGGTTTCCGAAATCCCAATGATGAGCGTCAAATTCGAGCCGCCCTGTACAATGTCAACTTATCTAATATAGAATTATCTAATATAGTCCAAAGGATTATGTAATATAGTCCTAGTGTATCTAAAAATATCCATAAATAAGAGTAAACAACAAATAACAGTCTATGACAAATATTGACTAAATATGTGTGCACTCATTCTTTAGATTGTTATACCATAATATATTTTTATTGCACTGTAATTTTCACACTAAATATGTATTTAGATTGTCTATAGTTCACAGTTATTTATAATCACAAAAATTATAATTTTACCTCGAGCTTAATATTCTGGGGAAGCTCATCAGATTTTAATAGGATCAGATTTTAATAGGATTAATTCTTTGACTTAAGTCATTTCATTTAAAATTAAGTCATTTTTGTAAAGACTTAAATCAGTATAACGTTATTTAAGTCGTTTTTATGACTTAAGTCTATAATTTTGACTTAAATCATGATGATCTGCAAGCTGCAAGTTTCAGATTATACCTATTGATTTAAGTCAGTAAAATGACTTAAATCAATATAATTACCCTCCAGTCAAAACAACCAGAATTCAATTTAAGTACCTTTTTTTTTAAATGTTAATATGTATTGATTTTCTTGTATTACCAATTAGCCACTTTCATCAGTATAAGTATCATTTTATTAATTTATTGTAGATACAGATGAGACTAAAACTACACAAAATAAAACGGTTAATTTTCAGAACATCTACAAACACAAAAATATGTTTTTTTTTTATAAAATTTAACCGATTTTGTAGTACTTAAGTCTTAAGTAGATAGTATATCCCTCGGTTCCTCGATATATCCCTCGGTATATCCATTACAGATAGATGTCATCATAGACTAATGTCATGTACTAGAGATAGATTGGACACTGATATAAAACAATTGGGTCCGTCATTTAGAGCCACCTGGTGATCCAGAAGAAACTAATGGAGAGTTTTGGCATAACATAATTTTAGCGTTCCGTTACTTATTAACGCTAACTAAAACTGTAACGTTATTCAAGCTCAAAATTACTCCTTGTAAAATATAAAATAATAAATATAGACTTTTTTGTTGTATTTTATGTTTTATTAGATCATTAGAAGTGTAACATAATTAAAACAAAATTAAAATATATACATACATTTTAAACACCAACAATAGAGCACATAGCGCCTATTTTTTGATTTAACAAATAAATTATATAGCAAAAATATTATAGACTACTAATTAACTGTTACAAAAAATACTATATATTACCAACTATGTACTTACTTATTTATGATTAAACTATTTTTTTTTATTTGGTTCATAAATTTATACTTTCCAAAATGTCAGAATGACTTTAATAAAAAAGTTTAATATCTAACACGAAAATGATGATCGACTCTAAATATCAGAATGCACAAACTAATAAAAACACAAACTATAAACACAAATCACTGAAATCACCGAACTTTCCGATAAATCAGGAATATCTGAATTAATGATTATTTAAATAATGATCAAAATAATGATTTAAAAATAACTTGACGGATCACCAACATTTTGTCAAAATGTCAACATGATGTCAATGTGCCAATTAGACAAAAACTAGACCACAGACAATAGTCAACATAGGGACTGTCATGTCATCTTCATATATAAATTAGAAACCTGTACTTTAATGTCTTTTGCGCCATCTGGCGATGCGGAAGAAACTAAATTTGGAGTTCTATAAAATTACCATCGAGTGTCTAGGGCATGGATGTCATCGAATACACGTCTATTAAAAAGCGGTGATGTGTTTTGATCACTATGTAATACAGGGTGTCCCAGGCTGAGTGTGCATTAGAAGTTTCTAGAAAACTACAATATCTAGATCGGAGATTTTTTGCACATCACTATTTCACAACGAGATCTATCGATTAAAAATATTTTCAATATGGCGGCACTTCCGGAAATACCAGAAGTTGACAGAAACTTTCTTATTTTAAATGGCTACCCCCATTTTTTATTACATTCTTAAATTATTTGTAAAACTTTATGATTTTTGATGTCAAACACTCTATACCTAACATTAACCATTTTTGAGAAAAAAAATATTTAAAATTTTTGGACGAAAAAAACTGTCTGTCAAAAAAATCTGTATAGCCTGAACGATAAATTTAGTGATTACCACAGCCACTGTGACATAAAGAGAAGACATGTGGCTATCTATTTCAAAAAATAAATCGTTCGAATGTCATATAATACTGGCCGTAGCTGTGATGAAATTGAGCGGTTAAAAAATTATAATAAACCATTTTTTTCAAATGGAAACCCACTTTTTTATTTCACTAGTGAAAAGGTTTTTTAATTCGTTACTTTTTGACTATACATGTTCCGATACCTAAAATAAATCGTTTTTAAATTATTTTAGATTTAGTTTTAAAGCGTATTTTTTTCTTGAGTTTATCTAGCTTCCTTTGATTTTAAGTGTCAAACCATCAAACAATTTATTTCCTTCTGTCAAAAAAATAATTATTTGGATTTCGTATATTATAAATACCGGTTCTAAAACATTATAAGGTGTATTTATAAAAATATATCTCGTATTTTAGTGATATCTAATGGTAATATGACATGACCAGATACAGTTTTAGATCGCTTGACATTTAAAGTCATAGGCTACTGGTTAAGAACCAGAAGAATATACGCTTTAAAACTAAATCTTAAATAACTTAAAGATTATTTATTTTAGGTATAGGAACATGCATAGTCAAAAAGTAACGGATTAAAAAAACTTTTCACTAGTGAAATAAAAAAGTGGGTTTCCATTTGAAAAAAATGATTTATCACAATTTTTTAATCGATAGATGTGAAACAATGATGTGCAAAAATCTCCAATCTAGATATTGTAGTTCCCTAGAAACTTCTAATATCACGCTCAGCCTGGGACACCCTGTATATCGATGGCATAAGCTAAGTCTGGAGGATTTTAGGGTACTCTTCAATATATTCAAGATAAATTTTTCATTCGTCTTTCGGGCTACATAACTGAGTCGGGGATTTACTTGAAAGACAACAGACTCACTACGCACGCGTAATACGACAAAAATAATCATAGCCGGTTCCGGAAAATATTTTATTTACTAGTGGTATTGAGATTGAGCATTATTTTTTTGTTCTGTTGCTTGGCTGCAGCCTAAACAGTTTAAAAAGAAATGCTGCTGTTAAAAATTTATCAGAAAAATATATAAAAATCTGACTTAAACCTTTTATAAAAGAACTTAAGTATTTTATAAAAAGACTTAAATCATTTTCTATTTCAGAATAAAGAAAATCACAAATAATTTTCAAAAAGACTTAAAAAGTCAGCTTTCGAAAAATGACTTAAAATCAAATGACTTAAGTCATTAAAATTATGTAAATCAAAAGAAGACTTAAGTTTTCTGTGAGCTTGCAGCTCTGCTTAAACAGTCTGAAACATAGCATTCTAAAAAGTCATTCTCAGTTACTGATTTACCTAGATCAAAATTGCTGTTAACTATAGAAAAATGTTTGTTAGATAAGGCATTTTATACGCCATATGAATTCTATGTAGATAAGGATAGACCGGGGTTTTAATTTAAGAATGGATGCATTCTTTTTCTTAAATTACCTACCTAGTTAAAATCGGCTTGTCTAAAATTGTTCAAATTTGGCATGTGTATTCAGCATACCCAGACCTTCGCGGTAAAACCAACAGGGGTAGGGTTGCCAACTATCAAAATAAAAAATAGAGAACGAGAGGGTAAAAAAGAGGCACAGGTGAAACATTTTTTGAAACATCGC